ATCAATACAAGAACTTTGACACCAAAAGTAACTCTGGATCTTGAAAATAACCCCCCACCCCTTGAAAATGAAAAAAAGAACCCAAAAAGTGGCATTTTCTGCACATTCCGCCTGGTATGCATAAGCTATTCTTACTGTTTGCCTATATACTGTTGAATGAATGCTTTCAAACCCATTTGAGAATTAATAAACACTATTAATAGAAGAACTGTTACACCTTAAAGTAACTCTGTATCTTGAAAATAATCCCCCATCCCTCTTTAAAATAAAAAAAAAGAACACAAAAAGAGCGTTTTTTTGGCTGTTCCACCCTTTGAAATTCACTATTCTTACAGTCTGCTAAGACTAAAAGACTAAACTCATTTGGAAAACTTGATTAGATTTTTATTCCAAATACAAAACAGTTAAATCATTTTTATTCAGTCACATTGACATAGAAAGAACTTGAACTTGTCAGTCTTAAGTAGCACCTCATATTTTTCTTAGCCTTTCAAGACTTTCTTGGAATTTTGCATATTCCAGTGTGGTTCGGTCACTCCTCTTGCCTAGGTACGCCATGAGAGCATCTCCAAACTCCTGTGCCGTTTTCATCCTCCTCTTCCCACTGGGCAGTGTCACCTGGATTCTGAAGATAGGATCGACTTTAGGCAGAAGCGTGGTACTTTCTCTGGCAAACTGAACCTCAAGCTTCATCCTCTGCAGCTTTGCGTTGTTGTTCAGACTTTCATCCACAAGGAACTTCTCAACTTCCCCACTGTCAGTGAAGGGGCCACCTCTAGATTTCAGTGTGTCCAGCATGTCTAGTCTCTTCCTCTCCTTTCTTTGAGCCATCTCCTGTTTCTGAGATTGGCTACAGTTGTATAGAACTCATCCCGGACTTTTCTCTCTGACAATCGTATGTGTTGAAACTCTTGTGGTAGTAAATCTTCATCCATGTCTAGTTCAGCAACATCTGTGAAGATTTTTTTCCTTCCTTTGGGTTCTGCTTGCGCCTCACTCTCTTCACCCTCCTTTTGAAGCTGTGTGTCAGTCTCAGACATCTGTCTCAGTCGCTTTTGGGGGTGTGCCCTCTTTCTCTTCATCGCTGCTGCAGCTGGATATCTCACCAGTTTCAATCAAGATATCTGTGATATGGTCCAGAGTTTGATATGAGAACTGCTGGTCTCTCTTCCTCTGGTACTCTTCGCTCCTCTCCCTCAACCTTTGGGTTCGCATCATGCTAAGGTACCAGACAGGGTCCACACCTTTGGAACAGAACATCCTTCGCTCTGTCTTCTGGTCTTCATAGTATTTGTGCTCCATCTCACTCATGCTTACACACCACTCTTTCTCCAGTGATTGCCGCCGTATAGGGTCATGGGCAAATACATCAAAGAGCTCAGACTTTGTATGAAATAACTCTTTGTATTGTTGGACAGCCAGTGAGTCTTCTTTCCCTGTCTGTCCATACCTCTTTCTGCCCTCACTGAACTGTTTCCAGATCCTTTCTACCTTCCTCTGGATGGTGCTCAAGGAAACACAAAACACAGTGTCGTGGTAATACTTGGCGTAGACCTGTTTTGCCACTTCCCGTGCTGCAATGGTTGTAGTCACTCTCCCATTGCCCATCTCCAGGTGGTACCGTCTCATGCTTATGACACTCTGCAGTGTGGGGAGTTTTGTGGGTGGTTGGAAGTTCTTGGAGGGAGGAAAGTCGGTATCTGCATTATAAATGTTTCCGGTAGATCTAGTTTTGGACATGTGTCTGGGCTCTGCCATGCTTGATGATGTATGTCATCAGACTGATGTGACTTCTCTGAAAAAGATTAATATTCTAAATTAGATTAAGTTACAAGCACTAGGTCTAGGAGAGTGTTAATTACTTCAGTGCTGTCTACTAATTTAGCTTAATGTAACAGTTAGCTAAGTAATTACTGTATAATAAAGTTAGCTGGCTAATTTGAGCAAAAACATGTAAAATCAACTGTTGCACTAAGCTAGCTAGCTAGTTTGAGCTACGTTCTTAACAGCTAGAAAGCTAAAAGTATGACTAATATTGGATGGAACCTGACACAAACCAAGCTAAATTATCATATAATATCATATAATAATATAATTATAAAATAATATAATATAATAGTTTTGTTAAAAAGGAAAAAACATACCTGCGACAACTCTGTTTAACTGCTTGTCAGATGGTGTGTTGAATATGATCGTCTGCTTGGGGATTTCAACGGTTTGCTTGCAGTCAACCAGGAGCCACAATGCATTATGTAAATGTACTTTGTTACTTTAGAACTTTGCAACATCTGACAGGTGAACCAAAGTGTTCTCTTAAGATTTTATTTTATTTTTAATGATAAAAGGGGGAAAAAAACATGTCCGATTTAGTTTTTTGGGTGGGGTGGGGGGTTTATTTCATGATAGGTACCAACTCCCAATACAAAATATCTCCCAAATGACCCAATGCACCATCCCTGAAGTGGGCGTAATCATTTTCCAATTTTTTTATTTTTAGGCCATTTATCCCCCCCCCCCTACTGAGACCTGAAAAACAGGCTCAGGGCTTAACAGGTTAAAGGGTTGGCCTAAAATCTTGAAGCAATTTCCATTTGTTGGTGATATGCTACACTTGCCTTGTCATTTTATAAAATAAATATGAGGACATCTTTTATTATGTTTACTTTTGTATATCCTCTAGACATGTTCATACAAATTTAAACATTGGATATGCCATGACCAGGCCTTGCAGAGCTATATAAATGTCATATGCTGTGGTATAGTCATACATATTTGAACACCAGGTTCTAAGAGAAGACATTCTTAGTGCATCTGTCCTCCGAGACTAAACAGTAAATTCTCCCGACCACTATAACCCCTTCTTGTGGGAATGAAGGGTGAGCTGGAGAGCAGTGATTATTTCGTCTATATATTATTTATAAAAAGAACAAATCTTGTCTGAGGTTTGCCCTTTTCCTGGAAAGGCCAAAAGACACTATGTAGCTTTTCTATTTAAAGTAAAAATGGATGTCTTCCAGGAACGTAATGTACCAAGAGTGCAAAGAGTACTTCCAGGACGAATGCACCAAAGAGCTCATCGGAAACATCGTCATCACACGATACAACAACCGCACCTACCGTATCGACAGCATCGAGTGGGACAAGTCGCCCAAAGACTCGTTCACTTTTATGGACGGCACCCAAACCACCTTTGTGGAATACTACAGGTGAGTTTCACTCTGAACACTGAGCAGGAACCCAGGATATATTAAAGGTCACCTATTATGCAAAATCCACTTCTTCATGTCTCTTCTACATCAACATGTGTCCCCTCTTCTTCATGTCTCTTCTACATCACATGTGTCCCCTCTTCTTCATGTCTCTTCTACATCAACATGTGTCCCCTCTTCTTCATGTCTCTTCTACATCAACATGTGTCCCCTCTTCTTCATGTCTCTTCTACATCAACCTGTTGTCCCCTCTTCTTCATCTCTCTTCTACATCAACATGTGTCCCCTTCTTCATGTACATCCTGGTCCCCTTTCTTCATGTCTCTTCTACATCAAATGTGTCCCCTCTTCTTCATGTCTCTTCTACATCAACATGTGTCCCTCTTCTCATGTCTCTTCTACATCACATGTGTCCCCTCTTCTTCATGTCTTTCTACATCAACATGTGTCCCCTCTTCTTCATGTCTCTTCTACATCAACATGTGTCCCCTCTTCTTCATGTCTCTTCTACATCAACATGTGTCCCCTCTTCTTCATGTCTCTTTCTACATCAACATGTGTCCCCTCTTCTTCATGTCTCTTCTACATCAACATGTGTCCCCATCTTCTTCATGTCTCTTCTACATCAACATGTGTCCCCTCTTCTTCATGTCTCTTCTACATCAACATGTGTCCCCTCTTCTTCATGTCTCTTCTTCATCAACATGTGTCCCCTCTTCTTCATGTCTCTTCTACATCAAATGTGTCCCCCTCTTCTTCATGTCTCTTCTACATCAACATGTGTCCCCTCTTCTTCATGTCTCTTCTACATCAACATGGTCCCCTCTTCTTCATGTCTCTTCTACATCAACATGTGTCCCCTCTTCTTCATGTTCTCTTCTACATCAACATCGTGTCCCCACTTCTTCATGTCTCTTCTACCTCAAATGTGTCCCCTCTTCTTCATGTCTCCTTCTACATCAACATGTTCCCTCTTCTTCATGTCTCCTTCTCATCAAATGTGTCCCCTCTTCTTCATGTCTCTTCTACATCACCTGTGTCCCTCTTCTTCAATGTCTCTTCTACATCAACATGTGGTCCCCTCTTCTTCATGTCTCTTCTACATCAACATGTGTCCCCTCTTCTTCATGTCTCTTCTACATCAACATGTGTCCCCTCTTCTCATGTCTCTTCACATCAACATGTGTCCCCTCTTCTTCATGTCTCTTCTAATCAAACATGTGTCCCCTCTTCTTCATGTCTCTTTCTACATCAACATGTGTCCCCTCTTCTTCATGTCTCTTCTACATCAACATGTGTCCCCTCTGTGTAAAGAGACTCTGAAAGTTTCAGGAACAAAGATTCTCTCTCTTTTTGTCCTGATCCATTTATATAAAAAACCTGTCTGAAAATGAGCTGATCAGATTTTGGCCACTTTATGATGTCATAACGAGGTTTTGTCTTGTGTAACCAACCAAGGTAACCCCCCCCCCCCACCTTATCACCTGAATCTCCTCCTAGAGCACCATTGTGTTCTTTTTAACCAAATATCTCTCAGAGGGGCGTGGGGAGGGGCTCCTTATTTTCATCTAAAGTAACAGACAGAGAATCAGCACTTTTGAAACAGAGCTGAAACAGAGGGGATTATGGGATGCTGCAATGATCTGTTTGGTGTTTGGAGCCAAACACTTCAGAGACATGTTTTGTATATATCTGAGACCTATAATATATTGATGAAAAACAGTATAGATAGAATCGAATAGAATTGGAGGGATGAAACCCTCTGTAATGGTCACACATGCAGAGCACACACAGTGACATGTGTTCTCTGCTTTTAACCCATCCTAGTACCAGGAGTCTAGTACTAGGAGCAGTGGGCAGCTATTGTACAGCGCCCGGGGAATCATCATAGGGTCACAGTATCATAGGGGACCGTTAATTAAGAACAGCGATAAAGCCTCAACTGTTACTTACACATGTATTTATTGCAATTTATTGTGCTTTTTACAGCAAGAACTACGGGATAACAATTAAAGAGATGGACCAACCGCTGCTCATGCATCGACCGAAGGAGAGGGCCAAGCCAGGAGGAAAGGTAGAAAGCCTCACTTTACTTTTAACCAAATACTTATCCTTTTTCTGACCTTTCTCTGTAAACCCTAGAGATGGTTTTGCTCGACAATCCTAGTAGATCAGCACTTTCTGAAATACCAACAACCACGTCACTTAAATCACGTTTCTTCCCCGTTCTGATGCTCTTCACCAGGTCGTCTTAACCATGTCTAAATGCGTTGAGTTGCTGCCATGTGATTGGCTGATTAGATATTTGCGTTAACGAGCAGGTGAACAGGTGTACCTAATAAAGTGGCCAGCGAGACATGTCTATGTGCAAGTGATATGTTAAGATTAGATGGACCTTTATTGATCCCCATAGGAAGGTCAGGTGTTAAAGCAGCAATGGAATAAGAGAAATACAGGACAGAATTAACACAAGGAAAATACAAATATTAGGAAACATGTCAGATTCAATTCAATTCAAGGCTTTATTGTCATGTGCACAGGGGCTACAGTGTAGATAAAACAGATTAAACTATAGTCCTAGACTCCTCCAACAATGCAACATAATGTGTGTGTATATATATATATATATATATATATATATATATATATATATATAGGACATAAAACCAATAAAATAGTTAAAGAAATAACAGAATAGAAATAAAATAGTGCAAGAGAATAATATGACCTTCATAAAAGTGTGAATATGTACATGTATAGCAGGTTGTTTTTACATGGGTTACATCGTTAAGCTTTGATTGTGTCTGAGGTGCTTTGTGATTTAAACATTATAGTAAATGCTAAAGAAACACAGCCTTTGCTAAACAAAGTGAATCTCTGTACAGGAGATCACTCGGCTGACGTGACGGGAACTCTTGCATCAGAATGCCATCTTGTGGCTACAATAGTTCATAGCAATGAGCATTTTTTAAGACATGCCATGACTATTAGTTATTATTAATAACATAATTAGGTTCATTAGGATTGTCATATCCAGCTGTTTTTTCCAATGTGAGAAGCACTCTGTTTTTGCTTGAACAACCTACTTTATCTATACTTGTTATATACATGTAGAAATGAATACTATAGGTTATGATTAGGGCTGCTCGATTATGGCAAAAATCATAATCTCGATTATTTGGGTCAATAATTGATATCATGATTATTAAAAACAATTATCCATTTACTTTGAAAACATCAATTTATTGGAGAAAAAAAATGTGAACATTATGTTTTTAACAGTTGATTACCCTGAACTTTAAGTTTAATACAACTGAAAAACAAAACAAAATAATCGTTTTATTTCAATTACGTTGTTTTCGTAATCGTTGCAAGCCATAATCGTAATTGCGATTAAAATACGATTAATTGAGCAGCCCTAGTTATGATGATTCTAAGTTGTACCAAAATCTTAATATGTACCAGTGAAATATTCAAATCAGAGGAAACACAATATTTATAAAGGCTCAATATGTGTTAACATTTAATTTTGAATGAAGTTTTGTGAAGCTGGTCAGATATCCTGGCCTACAAACCATATAGTGCAGACTTGACACATATTGTTTGGTATAGATCCTCTTAAGGCGAGACACGGCAGGCAAAAACATCGTTTTTCATGCACTGGTCAATTTTCTGCTATTTTGATTCCATAACATGTTTTCTTTCAGGCTTTTGGAAGGAAAACGTACAAAATACACATTTAGGTGTTTATTTTACTATAGTTTGTCTATTTGCGTCTGTAGATTTCTCCTAATGTCATCAAAAGTTAGCATTCTCTGTCATCCAGAGAACAGCAGGGTTTAGGTAGCGCCACACAGCAATCTTTAAAGGTCGTTTTCTCAAAATTAGTTTTTTCTCCTATTCTGAGACATAGGACATTTCCACTTCAGTAGCACTTACATACACCAAACCTTCCAGTTATATTCCTATCAATATTCTGAAGGTTTTTAAAGAAGGGTTTGTTCATATATCATTCATAGCCTGAATTATATAACATTTTATACCTAAAAACATGGCGAAAATTGATATTTTAGGGCTGTTGACAGTATTTTCTGATTTATGGAGTGATAAAAAGAGATATCCAAAATCCCTTCTGTGGGGGAAACTTCTGAAGCATTTGGAAACAGGACTCAGAGAGGCACAAGGAGAGCTGGAGCTTTGATGGCAAACACTGTTGGTTTATTTGGAGTTACGGCCAGAGAATTGACAAGACAGGTGGTGTGTCACGAGTTGACACAGCGGTTGCCAAACCAATTCTGCAGAACTCTTTCTGTAGCTCGAGGTTTGAACTAGTTCGCAGTTTAATAATCAACATTCTTTATCAGTGAGACTAAACAATTATGGACCCTGAATCTAACTAGAGCTCTCGTCCATAGAAAATAATGTTCGCCAGGGAACCCACGTTCCAGATAAAAGAAAGGCCTCTAGATGTCCCTGAATAATAAACTATCTCATATCAGCTTGTGCTCGGTGATAAGCTGGCATCAACAATGCGCCCAAGCTGCTCCTCCTTAAGAGAGATAGCAGCAATACTCAAGGCCGTAGACCTATGCCATGGGAAAGGAGACAGTGAGAGGACAAAATGATGAACTGTGTCGAAGGTTGAATACCTTAGCAAATGATTCCCTAACACCTTCTGTAAAAACTTTAGATTCTAATATGACTACAAAATGAAACAAGAATTTTGAACCTGACTTTATCCAATGTTCAGATTTGTGTTCCTGAAATGTGTTAAAGTATGCGCATATTTCATGAGCTTATGGCTCATTTGCATATTTAAACATGCTATTTCAGAGAACCTGTAATACAAAAAACAATTGTCTTAATGTAAGTAATTAACTGGAGAAATGTCTTGCTGATATCTTTAAGTTACAAAAATTACCCTATTCACCTGTAGTGTCTCGCCTTAATATATATTTTAATGATCAATCATCAACTCCTCCAATATCGCAATAACAGTCCAAATAAATGCAATTAGCTCTTAATTTCTTAAGGGTAAAGAAGGAAATGTAATAACAAATATGTCGGAGGACAGGTAAAAGCACTTTACTTTGTAGATAACTTTAATATTAAAATGTTTATTGCAGCAAATCATGACTGGAGAGATTCTGCTCGTGCCGGAGCTTTCCTTCATGACGGGAATCCCAGACAAAATGAGGAAGGACTTCAGAGCCATGAAGGTACATGTGATGGTCTTTCTTTTATAATATATTATGTTAGACAGGATGTATAGCTTTGTTATGATTATTAGATATTAGTTCAAATACTTTATTTATCTTTGGGGAAGCTATGTTTGTGACTTCATTTTGGAATAAAATAGTGTTTAATAGAAAGGAGAGCATTATACTTCAATATGTAACCACAATAAATAAATGTGGATATTACAATGCAAACAGTGGTGTATAAGTATTAATAGATATCAGGTTTTTTCAAAAAATACATAGTATGAGGCGCTGATCTTGTATATAAGATGTATAACAATTCTCACGAGAACATGACACCCGTAAACAAGATGGCGCCGCGGTCGTAAACAACAACATGACGTCAGAGCTCCGTAAAAACAAAGCTATCTCTGCCGTCTGACGCTCTATTCGACACCATTCTCCTATTTTTTTAATACAGTTGTGAGGAACAGAAATAATGTTTTCTAGCATCACTTTAAAGTTTTTACCCGGTTTAGACAAAACCCTGGATATATTGATATTCAAAACCAGATGATTTGCTCAAATGTTATACAGTATTAGTCCTAAGAAAATGTATACAAATAATATTTCGTATTAGGAGATACAGGTCTGAAATAAACTTAACACAAAAGGTAAGGCAATTTGTGTTTGGTAGATGATTTCTATGTTTGCAATAAATCTTATACCGTTGGAAAGCCTGTGTTCTTACCTTTCCAATGGCGCCACATTTGTGAGGAACAAGCATTTGTGGGATGAGCAGCAGATCTGAGTATGTGGGGTGCGCCCATGAAAAATGTGACACATCTCCTCTGCCAATGCCAAACCGCAATCATAGAAATCATCTACCAAAACACACATTGCCTTACTTTTTGTGTTAAGTTTATATATCTATATATAATAATATGTTTCATGTTTGTTAGGACCTGACCATGCACATCAATGTGAGCGGAGAGCAGCACACGCACGCCTTAAAACAGCTTCTGAAGAACATCAGCACCAACCCTGAGAGTCAGAAGGAGCTGAGCCACTGGGGCCTGGACCTCGACTCCAATATCGTCTTGGTCGGTTTATATATATGTTAGAAAAATCTCACTGGTCACCGGCTTGAGCTTCAATCTCAGGATCCATGTATTTGTGATCCTCTCCAGAATGGAAGTAGTCATCACATACAGAGCATCAACTAGTTCCTGAACAGTGTCCTTCACATGCTGATATCCAAGAGAGGGAGTTACACAGTCACAAGATGGAGGAATAGAAAGCAGTATTTAATGTTTACTTCAGATTAGCTCCACGTCAGAAATGAGCATGCTTGTCATATGTCTATCTCCATAGAGGCTGAATCATCATGTTAATCACATAGCTATCATATGCCTAAAACAGTCCTGATGCTCTTCTAGGTAATCATACATCCTGTCATGTACACAGCTACAGTTGGGATACCTTTGTTATCATGTGGACTCTGATATTGGAAGAGGACATTCAGTATTTTCCCAACAATATACAATACAAAGGGGCTTTATTGGCATGACCACATATTAAACATAGTATTGCCAAAGCATTCCACACAAGGCGTTATAACAGAACAAAACAAAAAGAAACATAAATATCAACAATACATGTGGCATAACACAACATACTGTATATGCCAACAACAAGCAAATACAAATACATATTAGTATATAAATAAAAAGTGTGTTATATCAACATTTCATACTTCAAAGAATATTTTATATATACAGAACCAGTCAAAGGTTTGGACACACCTTCTCATTCAAAGGTTTGGACACACCTTCTCATTCAAAGGTTTTTATTTGTTTTAATTATTGCTTACGTTGTAGGTTAATACTGAACACATCAAAACTTATGGAGTAAAACAAAAAAGTGTTAAACAAACCATTTCTGTCCCATTTCATGTTTGCTTCAAAATGTACAAACACAAGAAAAAGACACTGGATACATGTGTTGCTTTTACTCTTCAGGTGATCCTTGGCCACTTTCTTTTTTGTATATATTGACATTAACTTAAACATGTGTTCTCTTTCGTCAGGCTAAGGGTAGAGTTCTTCCCATGGAGACCATCTGTCTGCAGTCCAACTCGTTCACCTGCGGCTCCGATGTCTCCTGGTCCAGAGAGATCTGCAGGGATCGTTCAATCAGCTCAGTGAGTGTTGGAAACAAATCTCTGCTGCTGTCTCCTCTTCATTTGTGATTTATAGAATTTAGCGTTGGTGCAACATCTAAGAACTGGGAGAAATGGATTCAAGTGGATACCATTGAAATCAAAGTACTCTAAACATGCACTTTAGAGAGTTTAAAAGGTCTTAATTCCCTCATATTATTTTTGTTCTATTGCAGTGAAAACATCTTCTTCAATTAACTGTCTTTATTGAAGTTTCTCTCTAAAAACACACTTTACAAGATTACATATGAACACATGATAACGCAACAAAACAGCACGCTTATTATAAATTGCAATATGGACGAATATAGAGTATCCAAATCGCAGTTAGCGCGATATTTGGTAAATGCAAAATACGTGTAAATATCTGAATGAAGTATTGTGGAGCTGCCGAGAAGTCCAAGCCTACAAATCTTATTCTACAGACTTAAATAAAAACTCCTTGTTTGTTACAGATCGTCTAAAAAATCACTCCATGCTCATTTTAACAATATTTTCGAATGATGATGTGAATGTTTTCTAAAATGATAATTCCCCCCCATAACCTTGTTGGTGTTTATGTTCATGCTGTATGTTAGAGAGAGAGAGAGAGAGAGATAGTAATACAATTAAGGGTAAAATCAAAGATAAAAATGATGAATAACTACAGGGTGTCCGCGGGGTCTTAAAAAGTATTAAAAGTTGATAAATCAATTTAGTAAAAATTAAAGTATTAAAAAATATTAAACGGCATTTTCCAAGGTATTACATTTTGTAGCTGGTTTTCAATAAGTATATAAATTGTCCAAAGAGGTTGTATTCTACAGTCTGCCTGAATGTAATCATTGCGTAGGTGTGTAGTGTGATTCTGTGTAGTTTATTTATGGCATCCCGTTGGATTTGACGTCATCTGAACAGGACATCGCACGCTCACTGCTTGATAGCGCGCGCAGGTCCGTTTACGCCGGTTGTTAAACAACATCGTTATGGGGAAATGCAAGTTTGCGTCCAAATAGAGAGGCGAAGTCACGCCCATCTACTTCCGGTCCATGGGACCTTATTTCGGAAAAATAATGCATTGAAGTCAATGGAGAGAGAAAACGTATCTTTCGATCCCGTTTGAATTGTGCCATGAATTACACATATGATGTTTGTCAATCTTAAAAAATCATTTCCATGTCAAAAAAGTCACAGTTTGTCGTAAAACTGTTGAAATATAAGACTATGAAAAATACGCAAGTAGAAAGACTACAAATCCCAGAGTCGCGTAAGTGATGTCACAATTGTTTTCCTCCACTAAGAGATAGCTAAGATCAGCGCAATATAGATATAATCTATCTATATGGCGCTGGCTAAGATAAGATAACTTTAACAAGATGCCTGTGTGCTTAGTACCAGATTGTTATCATACCAGCAATGGGTCTTGCTCGTTCTTTCGCTTCCCGTCTGATGAAAGGACCAGGAGTGTCTGGATCAAGCTAGCTAGCTAGCACGTTAGTTAGCATTACAGCCTTGTCATTTGTATTAGCCTTAACATGAAGTAACATTAAGTAACCCAAAATGTTAAACAGTAAGAGTAGTAGTCATATTTCGTGAACCCTTTGAAGAGTACTGTCACCGGTGTGATCATTCTATAATACACAATTTAAGCCCGGGGGAGAAATGCTAACGCTAACGCTAGCGATCTTCTCTACTTCATGCTATCTGCACAAATGGTTGACATTAAACATTAAAACGACCAGGCAGTTCAGAGAGAATCAAAGGAAGGCAGGCAGGCAGCTTTGCATGACATTCTTCAGGACGTGTTTCATTGTGGTGATAGTGAGGGTAGTCAATCGTTTTGTTGACAAGACAGTAGTGACGGCCATCTTGGTGACGTGTGTTGCTCTGTGAGACCAGAGATGTAGTTCATTGAGCGTTTCACACAAACAAATGTGTTACTTCACAGTTTTACGACACATTTTTTTTTTTTTTTTTACTTGCATAATTATCTTTTAAATTGACAAACATCATATGTGTAATTCGTGGCACAATTCAAACGGGATCGAAGGATAATCTTTCTCTCTCCATTGACTTCAATACATAATTTTTTCGAAATAAGGTCCCATGGAGGTCCACCGGAAGGGGAGGGACTTCGCCACTCTATGGTTGGAAGATAAGGAGGAAGGACAATCAATACTGTATATAGTAAATGTGAGGTAAAGTGTGTCGCCAATGTAACCGGTTAAAACTCCAAGTGGCGATGAGGTCTTAAAATGTATGGGAAGGGTCTTAAAAAAGGTCTTAAAAGGAATTACATTTGACTTCAGGATTCCTGCGTATGCCCTGGACTATAAGAAATGAATTAAAATGAACATATATACATAGCATGTTTGAAGGTCAGTAAGGCCTGCCTCTGTATTATCCACAAATATGTATGTTTGAATTGTGATTACACAGAAGGCTTACAGAGAATATTGTATTGTCTATGATAGTATACATGTGAAAAGCTGAATTAAAAAAAAGACAATTCCCTCTAATACCGGGAGTGATATAGCAATTATAATATCAACATATCCAACACACACACACACACACACATTAATTATCCTGAGCCTGTGAATGGCTGCTGTATTTTTGTGTTTCTTCACTAACCGTCTCTCTCTCAGATCCCACTGAACATCTGGGCCATCTTTTTTAAAAAAAAGTATTATATTTCATCCTGGCAAATGTCAGAAATGTATTCAACATCCTCAATAAACTCCACAATTGTCAAGTCATTTTTTAGCTATCGTCTGCATATTGCTAATTAATGCATAATAATAATAACACTCAATAAAGAGCTCTAACACACAAACACACACATTATCCTGAGCCTGTGAATGGCTGCTGTATTTCTGTGTTTCTTCACTAACTGACTGTGTCTCTCTCAGATCCCACTGAACACCTGGGCCATCTTCTACCCTCGCCGCTGTGCAGAGCAGGCGGAGGAGCTCGTCTCCGTCTTCAACAAAGTGGCCGGTCCCATCGGGGTGAGGCTGGCGCGACCGATCCACGTGGAGCTGAAGGATGACCGCGTCGAGACCTACATCAAAAGCATCCACTCACAGCTCACCAGCGAGGTATGAAAAAAACTTGGACAATTTATATAAAAACTAGGGCTGTCAAGTTAACGCGTTAACGCAAAAAAAAATTAACGCCACTAATTATTTTAACGCGATTAACGCATGTGTATTTTTTGTCCTCGGCCGCCGTAGTTTCAGAACGCATCGAGTTTAAAATACCATCTACAAGCTGATGCTGACAGCCCCGCTCCTACCGCCCGCTTGTGGCAGACCACACTTCCACGCTCACCGGCAGGCCCGGACTGGCCATCGGGAGGACCGGGAGGGAGTGTGTATGTGTGGCGCGACTCGCGCGAGCGAGGCACACCTTACGTGTTGTTGTTGTTAGCATCTGGGGCTAGCTAGCTGCGCTAACGGATATAAGGAGCTGTTTCAATGACATTTCGCCGACAACTGCGCCGAGCACTTGACTTTATGCAGGTAGCCAGACAGTGGGACATTGTACGAAAAGTCAGCACACTCAGCACGGATAGTACGCGCAACATGATTGCAGCGTCCAGGCAGCTCCCGTTGGAGCATATATGCCTTGAGCTGCGCGCGCACACACACACACACACACACACACACACAGTATTATTGTATGAGAGAGGTTCCAGGTTGAATTGAAGGGAATATTTGTAATGTTCAGAGGTTGTTGTGTTTAATATTCATGAGAATATTGAGAATATTTGTCATTGTTCAAATGATAATAAACAAACATATAAAGCATATTTGTCCACTCATATGTTGATAAGAGTATTAAAAACTTGAAAGATATCCCTCTAAGGTACATTTAGAACAGATAAAAAATGTGCGATTAATTTGCGATTAATCGCGATTAACTATTTTAATCGACTGACAGCCCTAATAAAAACCTGTCTGAAAATGAGCTGATCAGATTTTGGCCACTTTATGATGTCATAACGATTGTCTTGTGTAACCATTAGCCAATCAGCAACCAAGGTAACCCCCCCCCCCACCTTATCACCTGAATCTCCTCCTAGAGCACCATTGTGTTCTTTGTAACCAAATCTCTCTCAGAGGGGCGTGGGGAGGGGCTCCTTATTTTCATCTAAAGTAACAGACAGAGAATCAGCACTTTTGAAACAGGGCTGAAACAGAGGGGATTATGGGATGCTGCAATGATCTGTTTGGTGTTTCCATATTGCAATAGTTTGATTAATTGTGTAGCTAGAATAAGTATTTCAGACATTGAGGATGCTTGTTTCAAATGAGAGTATTGCCAGCATTTTGAAATAGAAATACCTGTCTTACCTTACCTCTGCATAAATACATATAAATAAACTAATGCAAGATAAATCCAGTTAATTGAATGGCTCTTGCTGTGATTGAATTTTCGTTTCTTGTGTCCAGCCCAACATGCAGCTGGTGGTGTGCATCATGGTGGGAAACAGAGACGATCTGTACAGCGCCATCAAGAAGCTCTGCTGTGTCAGAAGCCCCATCCCATCTCAGGTGTGTTTCCATTTTCCAAGTGGTTCTGCAAAGCTGGTCTCGATTAGAAAAAGATAATGATTATTTTTCCTCTAAAATGTTGTTCTCTTTTTAATCGTAGGCCATCAATATCCGGACGATTTCCCAGACGCAGAAGTTGAAGAGTGTAGCCCAAAAGATTCTCCTGCAGATGAACTGCAAGTTAGGAGGAGAGCTGTGGACGGTCAATGTCCCTCTGGTGAGTTTGTGTATTTATGCTTAAAATATCTATAAAGAGAAGCAGGAAGAGAACACCTTATCTAGTTGGGCTCAATAGTTTTGGGAACACATCGTAATTGTGATTGTCCTGACCAATAATGGGGTGAAAACTAACAAAGTAAATTTACTCAAACACTGTACTTTGATAAAGTCTCATTCTCCACTATGTTTTGGAAGCCAATGTTAATAAATACTAAATACATAACAGCTTAAATTACTTACAGATTTAGATTATTAGCTAATACAAAATAACAATTTTTAAATAAACATTGGGATATCATGATAGGTTAAGACAGTGGTTCTCAAACTTTTTCTGTCAGGAGAAAAAAAAAAGTCGGGCCCCCCTAACACAAGTAAGGCTCAGTGGCGGCGCCAGAGATTTCTTTTGGGGGTGCTGTGGGGTAGCTTGACATTTCATAGAGGGTGCTCAAACATTTAGGGTTTCCCATTAATGTACCGGGCGCTACAGTGGAATTTTCTTCTGCAACAATCCCCACGCATATACACAATGTGCCCGCGACTGTTACAATGAAGGCTCGATAATCAGCTCACGGCATATAGGTGTAAGCAGGGGTAAAGTGCTATTTTTATAGGTGGTGTGTGTGGACCTAACATAGGGGGGGTCCGGGGGGATGCTCCCCTGGAAGATTTATTTTTAAATATTGAAGTTAAATGCATCAATCTGGTGCACTTTGAGAGCAACATGAAGAGATCTATGGATACATCTCTCAACACCCATATGAAACAGAACTGTAAACAGATTTACTTTTTCTTTATGGATATTTTACAAATCACTCTTTTAAACTTTATTCTTTTTTTACTGTCATATAGTATTTCATACCTGTTTTTCATTTATTCTCTTATTTTTTTATAACTATAATGATCATATAAACGTGTGCCTCGGAAATAATTGTTTACATTAATGGTGACCAAAACGTTTAACACTGATAACACTGAGAGAGTCCTTTAGCTCACTGAGCCTCTCACCCCTAGATTCCACCGGGTCCGTCTGCGGCGCGTTACGTGCGCGTTACGGCTGCGCCACGGCGATCGCGGCCACTCTAGTCAATGGGTGCTATTCCACCACACACGGCGCGTTACGGCTCAGAAGCGGCTCGGCGCAGGGCTCCTCTAAAATTAGGATCGAATCCTATTTTTGACGCGGCGCAGCCGTAACGTAAGGTCGTGCAGGCAGGAAGTGGAACGTTCAGAGCTATATAGACCTATATATATACACACACACAAACTAATTTTGCAGACCCTATCCCTCCGTAGTCTTTCAAGTAGGAGGAGAAATGCCAGCGTTCTCCTCCGGTTTACAGGCACTGTGTAAATTATATATATAGAATAATTATGATGATGAATGCATTTTTTGACCACTAAAATACAGCAACACGTCTTTGATTCATGTCGTTTATAACTGGAATATTACAGTTATTATTAACTTTGTCTGTACAAAGTAGCCTGTCCAGGAAATATGCCCAAATCAACCAAAACTGCGAGCCGGCAGGCAAGACTCTCCGCTTCTGAAATGCTTCTGAAACGCGCCTGGTAGGGTATGACGCCGGAGGAGGCCGGACCAAAACCGCGGCGCAGACGGACCCGGTAGAATCTAGGGGTTAGTCTGACAGGAGAGGACTCTCCTCCACTTTGTTGTTGAAACAACTCCTTATATCCATTAGCGTAGCTCGCTAGCACCAGAAGCTAACAACAACGATCTCCGGTACCGGTGCGCTCTCTCTCTCTCGCTTGCGCACGCACACAAAATGGCTCGTTCCACACACACACAGAGCCGAGCTTTAATGAAACGCAGAGACCCAGACGTAATAGTACTGTACTGTATCATATTTTCGAATCAATAATTTTTCCAATTATGATTTTTTTTATAACCATTTTTCCTCCTGGTCTCTCGCGCCCCCCCCGTCATGCCTCTGCGCGCCCCCCACTTTGGGAACCACTGGGTTAAGATATCCAGCAGCTGTATATAGTATTTAAATACATATTTTCCAGCTGTGATGAACACATTAATGCATCAGTAATTAGATATAAGAGTTTCACATAGGCCTTTATTCAATACCCATACTTTTACTTGACCTGTTAAGCCCCGAGCCTGTTTTTCAGGCCTCAGGCTCGAAAATGACATTCCCAGAACAAATGACCATAACTTCTAAAAGGGTTAAATTAATAATCTTTATTCTCAAAGCAATGATAAACCTGTGAGTTGGATGTAGAAGAGTCAGAATCAATATAGATGTTTTTTTTTATTTTAAATTGAATTCAGATTGAACATAGTAAAAGAAAATGTAAATTATAGTTTCCGTCCAAAAAAAAAACATTACTTAGTGAAAACCACCCTTGAAGGATGGGATAGTAGACCAAAAGCTTTAGGAATCCACACTATAACATATAAGTACCCTGTATCAAGATTGATGCAAAACAAGTGAAATTTGATCTTTTTAGAGAGATTTAGAAGAAAAACACTTCTGGGGTCATTTGGGTGCATTTTCCATATCTCTGGCCCCCCTCGGTCGATTTTGATGATTGACACCTCTTTTTAACCGTTAGAGCCAATAGAATCGAGGGGAAGTTCCTCAAATCCATCTAAACATTACCCATTGGTGAATGAGTGATGCGCAGCCAGAATGCCCAAAACCGGAAGCTGTCATACACTCTGAAAACTGAAAACTAGGTTATAGCCATAAATATGAAGATGGATTATCAGAAATCATTTCAAAGTGACACAGACGCGTTGGATTAACCATTGGATTAACCATTGGATTAACCATTGGATTAACCTTCAGCAGCGTTTTTATCGTTTTAATGCCATTGACCACAACTTTTGCAACAACAGCAAAAGTTAAGACGTATTTCCCGTTTATGCTCCGTAAAGCTACGTCGTGTGTTGTCTGGGTTTGCTTCCCCTGCCGCGAGTTTTGATCGCTCAGTGATGATACTTGTATTTCTAGAATATGTGGAATCTCAGCTTGCTAGCTGATATCTTGTATCCGGTACCGGGGGCTTAACTGGTTAAATAACAAGTGAGCAGTAAATAATGAATCTTTATTTCACTTTTATAGAAACACTTGATGGTGGTGGGTGTTGACGTCCACCATGACACCAGCAAATCTCATCAATCAGTCATGGGCTTTGTCGCAAGTGTGAACAGGTAAGGTGTTTTTTTATGATTGTTTTCGCACAATATCAAGAGTTTATTTTGCGTTTTTTGCCACACATGATAAGACTTACAGCTTTTAAAGTGGTATCTGCAGAACATCTTTAACAACATACACATTATACCTGCAGATTAGTGGTTTATAGATAATAAACATGTATTTCACTGATTTTCTTTCAACATTTTGTGATTTTGCTGCTTTTTTTCCAGCTCATTGACCCGCTGGTACTCCAGAGTCACTTTCCAGACTCCCACTGAAGAACTGATTTTTGGCTTCAGAGTTTGCTTACTGGCTGCACTACAGAAGTACTATGAAGTAAGTATTGCAAGCACACATTACATAAAACATTTGTAATTCAATCCTCCTTCTGAACCGCACAGATAATCCCTCTTCTTCTCTGGTTTCCTTCTCTAGTGTTGTAAAACAAATATCCACTGGGGGTCAGGAGTGGCATATGTTAACTAAATAAAGCAAGGGCCTTTAAAGAAACTATTATTTTTGTATTCAATCACCCACACCACTTTGCTCTTTTCTGCTGTAACAAATGTAAATGTCCCCTCTGTGGGACGAATAAAGGTATTCTGATTCTGACACCTGACACACACACTTGTCCATGTTGTTTTGTACAGGTGAACCACAACCTGCCGGAGAAGATCGTGGTGTATCGCGATGGCGTGTCGGACGGTCAGATGAAGATGGTGGAGCAATACGAGATCCCACAGCTGATCAAATGCTTTGAGACTTTCCCCTGCTACGAGCCCAAGCTGGTGTTCATTGTGGTCCAGAAGCGCATCAGCACCACCCTCTACAGCTTTTCTGGAAACAACGTGGTCACACCTCCACCTGGAACCGTCCTGGATCACACCCTCACTCAGAAAGACTGGTCAGTGTTTTACAGGATGTCTGCAGCAAAACCCAGTAATCTTTCAAAAATCAATGCATGGGTTGCATTTCTTGACACACCATTGTTTTTTTTGTTTTCATCCAGCCGTAGGTTATAGGAATAGGGCTTGGCGATATGGAGAAAATCAAACATCACAATATACCCGATGAAATGCCCTTTAATCGATATTAGACAGTGGACTTTTGGTGCTTTTAACAAAGTATTTACACAATTTATGGTTCAAATAATATCATCTAATATGTGGATTATAGACTAAATGGTTAAAGACAAACAAGTAAGTTCAGAAAATGAAATCTCTTTGCCGTTATGCAGCCTTACAAACCAGGAAGCGACACTTGTGATGTTACGATATGTAGTAGTTTATCACAGTATAGATGTAATATCATTATACATTGTCCAGCCCTGAATGTGTCCTTGTTACAAGCGCCACCTGCCTCAAAAAAGTGCATTAGTCATTTAAAAGTGCTTGGTATTGTGACAGTAATCAACCTTGGTCAGTGTCTCAACCTGTGACCCGTTGAGTCGTTCAATTCTTTGGTTTATTATTGTTTTTTTGCTCAATTAAAAAATGCACAAACAGAAAAACCTCGACAACATTTCAGAGAACATAGGATTAATTATTTCTGAAACAGCAGAAGCTTCGGTAAGAATTCTTAATGTGTTGAACAAGCAGCGAGGACACACACGGAGCATTCTCTCTAATTCATATCTGAATATAACGACCCAATAAATACTACACAGGAAACGGAAACACCAACAAATATGCGCGTCAGTAGAAATCCCTCCGCACATTACGCCTTCATCATGAAATTAAAGCTTCAATTGATCGTTTTCTGATGTCAGAATGATTATATATTATAGATCTATATATGTTGATACAAAGCTAGGTTACTGCCGGACTCGCTGCAGCTGTTTTGGGATAATTAAGCTCTGTGTTTTGTTATGAAGGGAAAAATTAGGCGACAAATACTTTTTTCCCAGACTAAGTCGACTAATTACATTACATATTACTTGTTAGACCAGGGGTGTCAAACTCAATTTCCTCGTAGGCCACATTAGCACTATGGTTGCACTCAAAGGGCCGGTTGTAACTTTAAGACTATATAACAAATATACATGTATAATATATATAAAATAATGTTTTATATTACATTATTGCCTCTGCATTGGATTATTATCGGATAGGGTAATAACTTCATAATTAACTACGTCTGAAAGCAGAAGTCTGGGGCAAATAATTGCAAGTCTCTTCAGTGTGCATGTCACAAAACTAGATGCATTGTGGGACATGTAGTTTATGGACAATGTGCTCATGTAAAGCGGCATGTAAACCAGCCACATAAAATGAAGTCGAGGGCCGGATTTGGCCCACGGGCCTTGAGTTTGACGCTTTTATCCAAAGCGACTTACATACTCAATACTGTGGGCAATCCCCACAGGAGCATTTTTGGGGTAAAGTGTCTTTCCCAAGGACACAACGACATGCTGACTGCAGTGGGGTTTGAACCTGTGCTCCCCTGATCTGAACACCAACGCACTAGCCCACTGCGCCACACGCCGCCTAATTGGTGGCAGCCCTCATGATGACACCATCGAAAACAGTATTTGCTGTCAGATTTTTCACGTCTCTAACAGTAACGTTTTTGTATTTGTTTTATTCAGTGTGGATTTCTTTCTGATGGCACATAGCATCCGTCAAGGCTGTGCAATCCCGACTCACTACGTCACTCTGTACAACACGGCCAACCTCTCTCCGGACCATCTGCAGCGGTACTGATCACCTTTATATTATTTTCTCTACACTTAGCAATATATTGGTTACTGGTACAAATGTAAAACATGTTTTTTAACTATGTATATACTTCCTTTTTTTTGTGATCACATTTGTATTGATTAATACACAACATGTACAACCAAAAGCACAAAATGTTTTCTTTTTTAAATAAAATTACTAGAAGTACATAAGAAAAAGAAAAATGTAAAAACAGCAATTACTTACAAAATATACAGAATACATATGTAAGCTAAAAATAATAACAATTAAAGCTGCAAGCAGCGTTGAGCGGGTCTTCGACGCTCCGCAGGCTGTTGTCCGCACGTCGAGGTGTGTGTCTAGGTGTCTCGAGGACTCGAACGTTGGCAAACGTGGAAAGTTTCAGGCCGATCGGACAACGTACATGGGATTTACAGCAGTATCATAAACATTGTGTTTGATGGCGAGTGATCTGTCGCCATGGCAACGGCATTTGATGACACCCCATAATATGCCTAGATGTGTTGAGGGCTGCATCGTTATCAAACCTGTGAAGTTCTGGGCCGTTTGGACCATGTTAACTGGAGTTATGAGAAAACCGTGTTTCACGGCGACCATTTTGTTATCATGGCAACGGCATTTGACGAAATCTCAAAACTGACACATATATGTCTTTAGGGCTGTACCGTTAGCACAGATGTAAAGTTTGAACACTTTTTTACCATTTACACAGGAGTTATAGCAATATCATGCTTAACGGCGAGGGATGCGTTGCCATGGCAACAGCTTTAGAGGAAAACTCACTATTGTCATATTGAGGTGTTGAGGGCCGGACTAGTAGCCATCATCTGAAGTCTGGTGCAGTTTGGATCATTTTCCATTGACTTAAGACCAGTGGCGTCGCCTGGCCTGGGCATCCGGGGCTTTAGCCCCGAATGTTTTTTCTGTAGCCCCGGACAATTCTCCCTCAATAATATAATACATTAACCGTGCTTTACGTGAACCTCATCATGACACAAGAGAGGACGGCAGCACTGTAATTTCCCGTGTTCAGTGAATGCAACAGAGGCATGACACCAGACCAATCAGAGAGTTGCATGGAAATAAACGTGTGCTTGTGTCATTCAAGCTCGGCTCTGTGTGTGTGTGGCAATAGCGCATTTAGTGTGAGAGAGAGAGAGAGAGAGAGGTGCGGCTTTCACACCAGCGCTTTTCCCTTTCTAGCTCCTAGCGAGAGCTTTTCTGGTTCAGCTCCGGTTTCCCTTTTCAGCTCCCGCTCTGTTCACACCGCCCAGAGCTGCCGCTGCTGCGTCATGACGTCACAGTTTACGTCGCTGATTTTCTCCCACAACAACAACGGGCCGGGGACTGCGTCGGGTCGATGATCGTGTTGCTTTTAATCATACGAAGCCAGATTAAATTAAATAACGACTTCTCCAACCTTATACTTTTCTCCAGAGTGCCGTGGTTCATTGTTTATTAATGTGTTTCAGCGGCATTTACCGACCGCTGCAGTGGCTGCTCTTCCACGGGAGTTTATTCTCCCGTTAGCTCCGGGTTAGCTCACACGGCTCTAAAGTATTCACTGTCTGACTGTCACACAAGCAGCTGATACATATCCCCAGTTCCCCTTAAGTGAATGTGTGTCAGTCTGAATTGACGCTGTTTGGCATCACAACGCTGTTATGAAAGTTTCTCTGGTATAACATGGGTGATGTTAGCATAGCAACCGAAGCTAAACTGACTACTTGCTAAGCCGTTTTCTACAGGCACATTTTACCGGCGTATTTTTCATTATGATTCTACTTGTGATAGTCGGACATGACAACCTGTACAGCCCATGTATTGATTCCATCCGATAGCTGCTATAATAACAAACAAAACGTCTGCCTGCTCTCCACAATGATCAATAACAGCGAACGGATGGTCAAAGTAAGGTTTCCTGCACGCCTCGACGTAAGAGACGCCGCGTCATAGCTCCGAAGCTCTTGCCTCTGGACCGATAATTTTTTGGAGCTGGAAGTGAACCGCATTCCGGAGCTATGACGCGCCGCCGCTGCGGTGTGAACAGGAAAAACCGGCGCTTTTCCAGCTCCAGCTCCGAGCAGGAGCTGGAAAAGCGCCGGTGTGAAAGGGGCAAGGGAGAGAGGGGGAGGGAGGGACCGGTGCCAGCATGGACCGTGTTGTTAGCATCTGGTTAGCTAGCTGCACTAACGGACATAAGGAGCTGTTTCCACAAGAAGCTGGAGGAGAGTCCTCTCCTCTCAGACTGAGAGACTCAGGTTTAGATACATAACTTTAGTCTAAGTTATCTCAGTGGGTCTCAAACGGTTTGGTCACAAATTATTCAAAAGATTATTTCCGCGGCACACCTTCATATGATCATTATAGTTATAAAAAAAATAAGAGAATAAAGGAAAAACAGTTATGAAATACTATATGGCAGTAAAAGAAGAATAGAGTTTAAAAAGGGAGTGATTAGTAAAATATCCATAAAGAAAAAGTAAATCTGTTTACAGTTCTGTTTCATATGGGTGCTGAGAGAGGTTTCCATAGATCTCTTCATTTTGCTCTCAAAGTGCACCAGATTGATGCATTTAACTTCAATATTTAAAAAAAAATCTTCCCGGGGGAGCATCCCCCCGGACCCCCCTAGAGGAGGTGAGCCCCCCACTCATAAAAAATACCACTTTACCCCTGCCTATATGCCGTGAGCTGATTATCGAGCCTTCATTGTAACAGTCGCGGGTGTACTGTGTGTGTGTGTGTGTGTGTGTGCGTGTGGGGAGTGTTGCAGTAGAATATTCCACTGTAGTGCCGCCGCCACTGTGGGCTAAGCCCCGAATGTTTTCAGGTCCAGGCGACGCCCCTGCTTAAGACAACATTGTGTTTTTTGGCGAGGGATGCGTTGCCATGGAAACGGCATATGATGACATCCCATAATTGGCGTAGAGCTGTTGAGGGCCAGACCATTAGCCATCATCTGATGTCTGGTGCCGTTTGGACGTTTTTCCAGTGAGTTAGGACAACACAGTGTTTCATGGCGAGGGATCTGTCGCCATGGCTACGGCATATGATGACATCCCATAATTGGCGTAGAGCTGTTCAGGGCTAGGGTTAAGGACAAAGGAGCCTCATTCACTTTACATTGGGGTTGTTTGCGTGGTGCAGACACGTAAATGTAGCAAAGTTCGTGACTCCACCACGCACTGCGGTGTTAAGGAGTCGTGGTGGAGTCACGCATTCTGGTGAGACCAGGTTGGTCTTGCCACATGGCCTTCCCTTGCATAATCTCAAATATTTTGTATTTGTATTTAAGCTACCAACGTGTAACAGAACCATGTCATGTTTGTTGTTCTCTGACACAAAACATCATGTTGAATCAGTCAAAAACAAGATCATTGCCATTGGCATGATGACTTCTGGTTTGGAACACAAAGTTCTGTAAGTAAGTTTCACTTCTTTCGGCTGCTAAACCGTAACTTGTTTTTCACTTATCATCTTGTGTAATCTTTATCTTGTGTTATTTCAAGCTTTTAATTCAGATTGACATGTATGGTATGGGTGTTAGTGTCCCAACCAGGGCTCGAGTTTAAGGACCTCCCGTCGTCCCGGGGCCGAAAAAAATCGGGTCGGGGAGGATACAAATTAATTTTGGGACGAATTTGGGACGAGAGTTAAAATAAAAATACCCTGCTAACTCTACTACGAACGGCGATGAAAATGAAACTGACTGCACGTTTTATGTAGCACACAGTTATTAAACCTCCTTGTCAACATAAACACACACAAAGCATTTAGCAACCCGCGAAATACACACACACACACACACAGTACGTAGCTACAGCTGTCAGCCAGCCGCACAGCTGTGATGTAACTACCATTTTTTTACCCCGGAGCGGTGCGGAGAAACGAAACTTAACTTATGAAGCAGCTTTTGACGACGCGCTATGCATGGGGCACCCGAGAGGGGGTTTCCAGACATGTCATTGCAGCTGAGATGAGAACTCTCCATCGCATGTAGTCCTTAGCAATATGCTGCGCCTCTCCCCATGTAGAGATGGGTACCGAGCCCCGGTATTAAACGGGCCCCGGGCCGGAATTATTAAAGACAGTGGTAGAGACATTTAAAACATATATGTCATATGTATTATTGCTACATGAACATTATATTGCAGTTTTAGTTTCGCCAACTCCGTTTCTAATATGCAATAAGACTACAAAATGCGTCTATGATGTATTTTCGATCTTTCCAATCCAGACGAGAGAGCTCTCTCCTGTGTGCGAGGGGGCGGGGCAGTTTGTAAAGGTCTCCTGACTGTGTTACAGACTGTCATCCTGGTTAGTGGTTACTCTGGGTTCTGTCTTCAGGACAGAGTGTTGGATTTTGTTGTTAATCGGATGGGACTTGATTGGATTCAATATTAGAGCAACTTTCTCACTTGTGTGTTTTTTTAAAATATATTTGGCCTTTGTTTCTGTGTTTGACTGATTGACTCAAATAAAAAGGTTGATGAATTATCATCTAATGATTTGTATGATGTTTTATTTATGTTAAAGGTCACTTTGAATGATTTTAACTAATGATAATGTAGAAAAACAAATATTTTAAATTCGGGACGGTCCACATTAATTTCGGGACGGCTTAGATTGTATTTCGGGACGGTTCCGGGAGGATGGTGAAAAAAGTTAGTCGAGAGCCCTGGTCCCAACAATTCTGTATCTTGTGTAAGTGTATCTGATTATTGCAAGACAGCAGCTGCAAGAGAACTATCGATTTTTAGCCGTGTGATTCCATGGATTGTTTATTTTGTTATAACAAAGGTCAAATGTTTCTCAGCAGAAAGTTAACCATCCAGTTCAGCAGTTGATATGGGAGCACCAAAAACTGAAGTTCAGGAAAGAGCCAACGCAAAATACTTCTCCGCTCATGTCTTCTGCTTTAATTCCCCACAGCTTCCAATAAATAGTTTAAAAAGTTGTTTAGAATGAGTATGATGCTTTAAACCAAAGTGTTAATGACTGAAAACCCTGGTTAACATTCAGTCATGTGATTTTTTTTTTTTAAACAAACAGTTATCAGAATCAGAATATAATTATCATACCAGTATATGCACTTGGCTACCAAAACATGAATAGAGTGTGGTTAAAGTATGTGTGTGATGTCATGTCAATAACAACAGAGTGAAAAGGGTCAGGGTTGGGAGGACGCGATAAATCGCGTTTTTCCGACGTCAAATTCAAAATGTCCGACTTCCTGTACGTTATTTTATACCCCTCCAAGAGGCTTTTTTGTTTGTCTCCGCACCCTAGATATGCGTCGCGAGTTTCGTTCGTTTACGTGAAAGTTAAAGTGGGGGGAGTTTACGTTAAAAACGGAAGTGGGCGTGGCCTACGCAATTTTTTACGCAAGGTTCCGGAACCAATTACATATCGCAAGTTGCACCACTTCTGACGCGCGTGCACAATTTGGTGAGTTTTCACATATGTTGCGGGGGTCAAAGGTTTATCGGTCGCTGCGCGACCGATTTCAATAGGGTCTTCGCCGACCTGGGTCTCAGACCCTAATAATACAGACAAACAGAAATTAAATAAAACATACCAAACCCTCCCTCCCAGACATATAAACACACACACACACACACACACTTATATACTTCCTGATTTATTTATTTTTAACTTATTTTTACTTAAATTGTTACTTATTCCCAGATAGTTTTTTTGGGTGTTTCATTCATTGTTTTGACTTAGATAGTAGTTTAACTTTTATTTTCTTGATGTTTTGTGGGAGAGAAACTCATTTTACAACATTTTAGCCTTTGTAGACCATTTACATGCACACAAACCTATATAAGACACTACAGGAAAGATACATATTAGAGCCTCTTTAACATGTTGCTGTGTTCCCATTCATTCCAGGATGACCTTCAAGATGTGCCATTTGTACTGGAACTGGCCGGGCACCATCCGAGTTCCCGCTCCCTGCAAGTACGCCCACAAACTGGCCTTCCTGTCGGGTCAGTTCCTGCACTCTGAGCCGGGCATCCAGCTCTCCGACAAGCTCTTCTTCCTCTGAGCTGCTCCGGTATCTTCCCCCGGCAAACTGCTCACGGTAAAACCAGAAAATCTGAACCGGATGACAACAGACTCATTGGATGCTGTGAAGGATTCATATTTACTTCACTTTAAAGTATTTTCCTATTCAGATCAAGCCTTAAAGGGTAACACCAATAGTGCACTACTACTACTACTACTACTACAGTACTATTAATACTGCAATAATGATGTTATAATTATGCATATAATCGTTCTAAGTTCAAAACCAGTAGAAAGTTTGGAGCAAGTTTCTTTTAGTTTTTAAAGTATATTTTAGCCTTTGTTCCTGTGGCATAAGGATTGGTCTCTGTTCTGTTAATGTTCAGACCCTTCCACTGTATAAACCGGTTAGAGATTTATAACATTTGATTTGAAATAAAGAGATTTGGAAGTTAATAAAGTGTCAGCTTTATTGTCCATAATACACAAATCTAAAGTATAAAGTTGAACTAAAACAGAACCTGCGCCTCTTTTTCTCTTCGCACATTTAAACTTCACATTTGCCCAATTTGGTATATGTTGTTGAGTAGGGCTGCAACAAACGACTAATTTGATAATCGATTAATCTATCGATTAATGAAACGATTAATCGACTATTCGGACTATTATGCCTTGCACAATTTCTCAAACGCTCTTATTTAGCCATCAACTTTTAGATTTAGCTTGAGGTTGTTTTAGGCATGTGGAAACTAACAATGAAAACAATAAAGATGAATTCTTGATTAGAAAATACATATATTATAAATTACAAATTGTGAACAAAATTAACATTTCTTTTCATTTAAATTAAATAAATAATATTTCACATCAAAAGAAACAACAATGTTTTAACAAATCGTATTAAATAATCTGGTGACAGAACTGTAAACAGAATAGCTGAAACTTTTACAAAATAAATAATTCAGTTACATCTAATCATTAACCCATGTTTATATCATTTTGTTAACTCCGTGTGTTGCTGACGTGGAAACGTTACTCGTGGATGGGGCTACAGAGCTACTAGAAAGACAGTCGAACCCGGTGCATTTCTCCGTCTGAATGTGGTGCACTTTTGCTAAATGTTTAGACAAATTGCTCACCGCCCTTACATGCTAAACTCTTATTGCACTTTTGGCAACGAGCATTGTCCACCTCAAGACGGGTAAAGTTTAACCACACCTTTGAGCTCGTTCTCTCTGCCATCCCCGCAGTGTGTTGCTGCATGTAGCAGCCGCGTGTGTGTAAACTGCCCCGCCCGCTCGCACACAGACGGGGGAGAGAGATCTCTCGTCTGGATTGGAAAGATTGAAAATACATCATAGACGCAGTTCTATAATCACAGTATATACAAACGTAAGTGGTTTGGTCAATTGAGTTTAAGGCCTATTATAGTTTATGGGTGTCAGTGTCTAGCAGAGGGGAGACAGTTGTCCCACAGGGGGCCCCTGACTCAATGGAAAAGTACTGGAGCCCCAAAATGTGTTTAGGCCATACCATAGGAGAATATGTATTGACATGTCCTTGTCCCGTCCTGCACACCAGAGGTCATGACCTTCTCCCACATATATGGGTATGAAGGAGGTGTCTTTGGTTTTTCTGTCCCTGTGTGGATCATAAAAAGCACTGGTTGAGAGGGAGAAAAGCTTCAAAGCGGGGTTTCTCCTTGGTGAGTTCTCTCAAATTGGTTTTGTTATGACTGAATTTTACTAATACAACTGAAGTGGGCAGTTGAAGTTAGAATTTAAGGTCACAACTGAAGTGGGCAGTTGAAGTTAGAATTTAATGTAAGAAATGTAAAAATACCACAGCATGATATATTTTGTATGATTGTCATATTGTAACGAGCGAAGGTAAACACCCTGTATAAGTCTGGACCATTTTCTTCAAATAAAATCTCTTTATCGATTAAAATAGATCACCAAATTAGTTGTCAACTAATTCAGCCGTCGATTCGTTGGTGACGTCATCACGTGTGTTTTACGCGCCGTTAAGCTCTGACGTTATCGGTAGGGATGCTCCGATCGATCGGTCACCGATCGAGATCTGCCGATACTCACTCTCTACCGATCGATCGGTGCTCTCTAAACATGCCGATCGCGAGGGCCGATCGCATGACGTAAAATACATGACACTTTTCTCTGTGCGCGGCAAAACAAGCTCGCCAAAATGGCTTCACCGGTCTGGCATTATTTTAAGGTGTCCGAAAAAGACAGTAAAATAGCGGTATGCAACGTGTGTGTGAAGCAGAAATCCTGCAGCTCCACCCGCTGTGACGGACCGGTGAGCGGAGCAGAACACACAAGAGTTAGACCTAACACACTTAGCTATTTTATCTACCTCTGGAACAAGCTGAACTAGTTATAAATATGTTTATTCTTCACTGTCGGCCTCACACATTACTGGATCAGCGAGCTGCAGGAGACGATACTGACGGGCTGTCAGGAGAGGGAGAGAGGGGGAGAGAGAGCGCTTGCTAAATTCTCCCGTGGTATTATCCAAAGTGAATGTAAACTTGAATAATATACATAATTTGAATGTAATAATTAAGTTGATTGTTGTTTGTGGAAGCTCCAGTGAATGAGCCCCATTAACTGAGTTTTAAACATCACTTTAAATGGAAGATTTAAAGTGATGTTTAAATCTTCCATTTAGGCCCCGCCCACTCGATCGGTATCGGCAGATACTGATTCCGGCGATCGGCGATCAGCCCCAAAATTGGCGATCGGAGCATCCCTAGTTATCGGTCTTTTTATCGGTACTGGAGACATTTAAAAAATATATGTCATATGTATTATTGCTAAATAAACATTATATCACAGTCTTAGTTTCGCCAACTCGTTTCTAATATGCAATAAGACAAAAATCCGTCTTCGATGTATTTTCGATCTTTCCAATCCAAACGAGAGATCTCTCTCTCCCCAGTCTATGTGCGAGGGGGCGGGGCAGTTTACACACGTGGCTGCTACAAGCATGCAACACACACACACGGAGGAGATGGCGGAGAAAACGCGCTCCAAGGTGTGGTTAAACATTAACCGTCTCGATTTGGACAATGCTTGTGCCAAAAGTGCAATAAGAGTTTAGCATGTCAGGGCGGCAAATAGTGTTAATTTTGTCAGCTATTTTTTTATTTAGTTTTAGTCTTAGTCCTGTGTTAAATGTCCTTTTTAGTTTTAGTCATATTTAGTCACCTTCATCCTGTTTTTATTTAGTCAAGTTTTAGTCGACTAAAAGTCTGAGCATTTTAGTCTTATTTTAGTCAAAGAAAACTAATTATTTTATTCGAGATTATAGATTATATAGAACATTTCAGTCAAACTAGTCTAGCCAAAACCAATAATTTGTCATTTTAGTCAAACTTATTTCACAATAAGATTATATCTTGTCCTTATTTGATGAAAAACACAGGTTGAATGATTAAAAACGCAGCTTTGCAGAGAGTATCTGGTCAGGTTTGTGGTGTTTTTACCAGCTGTGTTATGGCCACATTGCTTCCTTTCTGATAAAACAATGCATTCGCTTTTTTTCTCCGCCTCATTGTAGCAAAAATGGGCCCAAATATCACATAGTTTCTTTCTCCCAAGCAGTGGTGGCGTTAGACTTTTTCGTTGTCAGTCATTTTGACGGACAGGATCGTAACATTTCCGTCATAATCCATTATTACCCGTCGGGTCTGTACACAAGGGGCCGAGGAGGGCGGGGCCGCAGGCGAGGGCAGGGGGGCCCCAACGAGGGCAGGGGCAGGGGGGCCCCCAACGAGGGCGAGGGCATCCCCACCGGAGGGTGGGGGGCGGGCCATGGGAGGACGGAGGACACCTGTCCCCGTGTCGCATGACCCTGAACGGGCCGTCGGAAGGGGGCCGCAGGAGAGTTCAGGGGCCCCAACGAGGGCGAGGGCATCCCCACCGGGGGGGTGGGGGGCAGGCCATGGAACGGGCCGTCGTAAGGGGGCCGCGGTGGTATCGTGGCAAATGAAGACAACATCCGCCAACCGTAGAAAGCTGGGTCACTGTGCTGCGACGTGGGGACGGGCGTGAATGTCCCGGTGGTCCCCAGCAGGGAGGAACGCTGCCCGGCCGCAGGCGAGGACACAGCGGCGGCGGGCACGAAGTCCTCGGGAGGAAGGAGCGGTATCCCCGGGGGGTAGGAGCAGTATCCCCGGGAGGAAGGAGCCGTGGACAGGGGAGAGGCCAGACGGGGTCCAGAAGTGCGCCACCCAGGCGCCGAGGAAAGCGTGGGCGACGTCCGAAGCCGCCGTCGAGGTGGTGAAACAGTGAGAAGGTCCACACGAGGCCGGCCTAGACATGGCCGAACCTCCTCTCAGGCACCGGAAAAAGCTCAAAAGGGTCGTCCTGTCCACTATCGAAAACAGGTAGTTGAAATTGTGAGAGGATCCACACGAGGTCGACCAGACATGGTCAAACCTCCTCTCCGGCACCACAAAAAAAAAGGGTTAAAAAGGCGGCCAGGAAGAACCGGTCAGCTCCTTCGGCTCAAGCGCGGGGCTCAACACTAGCCGTGTTGGCGAGCGCTGTCTGGACATGCGGCCGCATGTCCCAAATAAACAGTCCCATGAACAAGAAGTCGGGTTCTTCCGTACATAGCAGGTCGCGCATCATCTCCATGTGGTCGGAAGGCATGCTGTCTCCCAGTGCCGAAACGATGTGGAAATGGCGAACGTCGTCCTCGGCCATTCCGCGGAGGGCGAAACGATCCTCAGTCCGTGCGAACGATGCAGCCGCAGACGTCTCCCAAAAACGTATGTCAGGGTCACCAATGTAGTGCCGAGAGACGGGAGTCGGAGGCGGTGTATTAGATTAGGAAGGTTCCTAAGCTAAATGAACTATTCGACTTCAGCCCGGGGTTGCAGTCGAATAGTCCATTTAGCTTAGGAACCCTCCTAACGGAGTGAAATGACCCGGAAGTCCCTCAGTGGCAGCCATGATAAGTGCCATTCGAATTCTCTAGAATCTATGATAGGAAAGGAGGTTTCAAACTTCCTTTATAACCTCCTTTAGCTTAGGAACCACTGGACCTCCCTTTATGAAAGGAGAGGAGAAAATGCTGCCCCACAATGCCTTGCGGCCGCAGCATTTGCCGTCACACAACAGTCGGCCGTTCACGGAAACAACCGATTATGACCGAGAAATGATATCATGAAAGTTACGGTGCTTATTAAGCTTTTTAAAACGGTAACTTTCCAAAGTGCTTTGTTTTGAACGTTCATCAGTATTATAATCAAAAAGAAATATGAACGTTAGTTTTTACTGAAATGATCAAATAAAGTCAACATTTCAGTCTTTACTGAGCTGTGTGTTGTTCAACTTTTTAAAAGATGTTTGAATGGTGATATACACAGTGATAGATGTTAACCCTTGTGCCCTCCTCGAATTTTCAACCTTTCGACCCCTTCGTGGCAAAATTGTACACGCCCATAATAACTGCTATTAAATCATCATACATCAACATTTCTTTCTACTTTTTTTTTCATGAATCACTTAAACAACTTCTAACGTTCTCAAAACTACCAAACATTCAATCATTGGCAGGATTTTAACCCTTTAAATGCCTGTTTAATTATTTTAATTATTTCATTTTTTCTTACGAAAAAACACAAAACATAATTATTTTTCAATATAATAATTAGTAGAGGGATGGAACTTTGGTGGTTACTAGAGTCTTGGATGTGTCAAAGATTAGCAACAAAATTGATTTCACTGCATTATTATTTTGTACGTAGTGTCAGATACTACCTCTGGACCCCTTCGTGGCAAAAATGTACACGCCCATAATAACTTCTATTAAATCATCATATATCAATATTTCTTTCTACTTTTTGTTTCATGAATCACATATACAACTTCTAACGTACTCAAAACTACCATTTTCGGTTTCGATTTTAACCCTTTAAACGCCTGTTTCATTATTTTAATTATTTCATTTCTCTCAAAAATGCCTCATTGACTTCCATTCAGACCACATTTGTTGATCTCACTGCCATTGCAGTATAAAACCATGCATTTTGTAATGTCAGCATTTCATTTAGAAGAAAAGTAGTGATATTTGATATTTCTACTCTATTCCAACAGATTAAACCATTTTCCCACTGTAGGCCGATGCATTACATTCTTACATATTTGCCAGTTATATTATGGAGCCGTGTGACTACCAGGGGGCCCCGAGAGTGGTGTGTGTGTGTGTGTTTCATTTCCAGCAGCAGACCAGCAGGTCCTGCAGCATGTGACCTGGTGCTCTCAAGTGATAGAACAACATTTTTTTAGGCCTGTGCACAACCAGCACACACCTCTCCTCCCTCTCCGTGTGTGTGTGTGTGTGTGTGTGTGTGTGTGTGTGTGTGTGTGTGTGTGTGTGTGTGTGAGAATCTGTAAGCATGCACAGATCATTTCATGGGAACAAAAGGCCATCTTTTGAGGGATGTGTTTGATGTGTCTTTGAAGAGCTGCTTGATTACTCAAAAACAAAAAACAACTGTTAGTGTGTTTATGCACCTGGCTGCCAAAGATAAACATGCAGTTTGACCAAGGGCTTATTTCATTAGTGAGCAGAGAAGGAGAAAGACCTGGAGCAAAGAGAAGGAACTCAAATGAAGAAGCTTTTCAGTGCAGAAGAGACTTCAGAAATAATCTTGCAGCTTTCTTCTGCCAGCGAGCTGCAGGACTCATCTGAAGAAGACACAAGGTTCGAGGGGGGGTCTGACACTGAATGCTCTCTGGAGTCCAGCATTTCTTTGAGTTCCTCTGACCCTTCATCTGAAAGTGGAGAGGACACTGAGGGTCCCGTCCACAGTGAGGGGACAGAGAAGAACGGAGGTCGTTCTCCCAGGAGCTGGGGAAAACCAGGATGTCCTCACAGATTGTGAGAAGAAAGCCCCCCGTGGTGGTGGATGGTGGGCCGGACCCTCAGTGTCCTCTCCACTTTCAGATGAAGGGTCAGAGGAACTCAAAGAAATGCTGGACTCCAGAGAGCATTCAGTGTCAGACCCCCCCTCGAACCTTGTGTCTTCTTCAGATGAGTCCTGCAGCTGGCAGAAGAAGACTACAAGATTATTTCTGAAGTCTCTTCTGCACTGAAAAGCTTCTTCATTTGAGTTCCTTCTCTTTGCTCCAGGTCTTTCTCCTTCTCTGCTCACTAATGAAATAAGCCCTTGGTCAAACTGCATGTTTATCTTTGGCAGCCAGGTGCATAAACACACTAACAGTTGTTTTTTGTTTTTGAGTAATCAAGCAGCTCTTCAAAGACACATCAAACACATCCCTCAAAAGATGGCCTTTTGTTCCCATGAAATGATCTGTGCATGCTTACAGATTCTCACACACACACACACACGGAGAGGGAGGAGAGGTGTGTGCTGGTTGTGCACAGGCCTAAAAAAATGTTGTTCTAATAACTTGAGAGCACCAGGTCACATGCTGCAGGACCTGCTGGTCTGCTGCTGGAAATGAAACACACACACACACACGCACATATACACACACACACACACACACACACACACACACATATACATATACATACACACACACACACACACACCACTCTCGGGGCCCCCTGGTAGTCACACGGCTCCATAATATAACTGGCAAATATGTAAGAATGTAATGCATCGGCCTACAGTGGGAAAATGGTGTAATCTGTTGGAATAGAGTAGAAATATCAAATATCACTACTTTTCTTCTAAATGAAATGCTGACATTACAAAATGCATGGTTTTATACTGCAATGGCAGTGAGATCAACAAATGTGGTCTGAATGGAAGTCAATGAGGCATTTTTGAGATAAATGAAATAATTAAAATAATTAAACAGGCATTTAATGGGTTAAAATCCTGCCAATGATTGAATGTTTGGTAGTTTTGAGAACGTTAGAAGTTGTTTATGTGATTCATGAAAAAAAAAGTAGAAAAAGATATTGATGTATGATGATTTAATAGCAGTTGTTTGGGGCGTGTACATTTTTGCCACGAAGGTGTCCAGAGGTAGTATCTGACACTACGTAAAAATTAATAATGCAGTCAAATCAATTTTGTTGCTAATCTTTGACACATCCAAGACTCTAATAACCACCAAAGTTCCATCCCTCTACTAATTATTATATTGAAAGAAATTCATTTTTTTTTAAGAGAGTAGTGTACATTTTTGCCACGAAGGGGTCCAGAGGGTGCAAAATGCATCACGAGAGTATACAAAACATGTAAGAGAAACGACATTGGATTTCAAAAATTTGACTCAAAAGAAGAATTCTTGCAAAAATCCATGCCAAAAGCTGTAACACAGCTGAAATGAACACCAAATCAAAAAAAAAAGTCAGGAAAAATGTACAAAAATGCCCGAGGAGGGCACAAGGGTTAAGGACTAACGTTTATAATAAATACATTTGTATTGATTTTAAGATCTTTTCATACAATCATACGTATTGGGATCATTTGTATTAATGTGGACCGGAGGGAGAGGGTGACGAGCATAAGTTTCACTTTCCTTTTTTATTTCAATTCCAACTTTGGTCATGAAGAATATGTTTCTTTGTTGTCCCCGTTCATAAAGCATAAAACAACAGCATCAGAGCACGGTGCAGAGTCTCTAGATGAGTTTACAGTAGTCCCTCGTTCTTATTATACATCCATGGTTGTAGTCCGCTGTATAGAAAACTGTAGTTTCCATAGTTTCCCCACAGCAGTAGACGCACTTTTATGACGTCCGCTGGCGCATCATAAACACGTCGGATAGTGAAAATGCAGTCGGATTCTCTAAAGTACCGCAGTCTCTCCTCCTAAATCCTTTTGAATTCTCCTATCCACTATCCCTTAACCCCATGACGTTTCACTCAGAGGTCAAGGAATAGACGATAGGGTTAGACGTTAGGAGCTGATTTTTGGATTATCCGACCGCAACCCCAGTGTAATTCAAATGTACCGCCGCGCGCAGCACAGACACACAGCTGCTGCCCAGCCGCAGCACCGGAAATGGAACTGCTGGGAGAAAAACTGACTATCAGAGATGTAACGTTATCTTTGATAATAATTCGTCTCGTCACTTTTCATCAACTATATTGGATGTTGATTTCGTTACAGTTATTGTTTACTGCCGTCGGTGTCGTCTCGTCATCGTCTCGTTTTAGTCATGGAAAAATACGTCGTTGACGAACATATTTCGCCATAGTTTTAGTTCAAGGAATGCACCGTTTTCGACTGTCTTTCTAGTAGCTCTATAGCCCCCTCCACGAGGTATGGTCAGGTATGTTATGTATGCTACTGTAGCTGCAACACGCGGAGTTAACTAAATTATACAAACATGGGTTAATGATTAGAGGTAACTGAGTTATTTATTTTGTTAAAGTTTCAGCTATTCTGTTTACAGTTCTGTCATCACATTATTTAATACGATTTGTTAAAAAGTTGTTTCTTTTGATGTGAAATATTATTTATTTTATTTAAATAAAAAGCAATGTTCATTTTGTTCACAATTTGTTTAGTTAATTGACCTTGTTTTTTTCAAAATAACCGATACGAGTACCGTTAAAGGACCGGATAGATAAGCGGTATCGATAAAAGTAGTAGTACAGTTAAAACCTTAACGATCCGAATAGTCCATTAATCGATTATCAAATTAGTCGTTTGTTGCAGCCCTTCTGTTAGGTCAATTAGTAGGTCTGAGTAATTGCCGGAATAAATTAACAGGCCTCCCGACTCCAACAATGTAATGCTCATTTTAAAAGCTTTCCTATGAAATATCAGAAAAGCTGAGGATTTCAGAAAGTAGTTGAAATATTGTAAAAAAAAACAGCAGCTACATGAACTAATTACTGATTTCTCAGAGTCAAAGATCAATAGCTGTGTGCATTGCTGCTGATTTTTTCTTACAAAACATCATTGTTTGCAAGGCGTGTTGGTGACCTTACATGCAGTACTGATGTAGATTGTAGTTGTGGTTGCATTAGATAATTGTGAATGAAGAAGTTTCGTTGTAGACAAAAAATTGACAAAATGTTCTCTGAAAAAGAAGACTAATGCCAAAGGTAAGACACTTTTATTTTTTATTTTATGAGAATATGCAGCATCATTACATTACATTGCATTTAGCTGACGCTTTTATCCAAAGCGACTTACAATAAGTGCATTCGAACAAGAAGATACAAACTTGAAGAAAACAGAATCATATAAGTACATCAGGTTTCATAGAGACAAAAGATTTCAAGTGCTACTCAACTGGCTTTAGATAAGCCAGTCCTTTATTAGTATATAAGTGCTTTGTTAGTATATAAGTGCTTTGTTAGTATATAAGTGCTTTGTTAGTAATTGTATCGCTCGAAGTGGAGTTGAAAGAGATGAGTTTTCAGTCTGCGCCGGAAGATGTGTGCATCACACATGGAAAATATGTTGTTGATTCACTAAATGCACAGTTATGAAGCCCAAGAAGATATTGATTTACCGTAAACTCCAGTTAACCTGTTATTGAATAAAACATGAGTATTGTATTTGTTACACTGCTTAACTTGTGCACGTTACTTAGTCATTTATGCAGATTTTCTTTGTCATTCCACCATAAGGAGCAATTTTCTGACAGTGATAGCAATGGTCATTTTGTGCAATGAAATAAAAAACATAATGATTAACGTGGAGCTGGTGAATGTGTCTCTTCCAGCTCTTCTTCTCCTTCACTCCGGGAATATTAAGCTTCATGTCAGCGTTGAAAGTGCAGCAGCAGCAAAAATGAATTTTGACAGCCTACTCTCGGAAATAAATGGATTTGGAACATTTCAAATCCAGCTGGTGTTGATTCAGGCCTTGTCTCGAGTCACGCTGCCCTGCCACTTTCTGCTGAATAACTTCATGGCAGCGGTTCCCGATCACCACTGCAACGTCCTGGGCGATGGAGGCCTCTTCGGGAACTTAACACAGGAACAGAAACTTGGGATTCCAGCGGGGCCGGACGGGACCCCGAGCTCCTGCCTGATGTTTACAAAACCCCAATATGAACATCTGGCGGGTTTCAACAGCAGCGACGAGGCTTTCACTGTCCAGTGTCAGAAAGGATGGGTGTACGACAACAGCACATATAAATCCACTTTGGCCACAGAGGTAAGTGTCGCCAAATGACAGTACTCCTTCATGTTATACATAATAATAATAATGCATTTTATTTATAGAGTGCTTTTCTTGAAACTCAAAGACGTGAGAAGAGTACAAATTAGAGTCCTATGAGGAGGAAGAGGTGGACAAGTAGCCTATAGGGCAGGGGTGTCAAACTCAATTTCATCACGGGCCACATCAGCATTATGGTTGCACTCAAAGGGCCGGTTGTAACTTTAAGACTATATCATTAATTAATATAACTTCATAATTAACTACGTCTGAAAGCAGAAGTCTAGAGCAAATAATTGCAAGTCTCTTCAGTAAGAATGTCACAATATGATTTTAAAAGAAAAGCCACATTCTGGAAAAACATTGATTGTGACATTTTGAAAAAGAGAAGTGACATTTTGAAAAAAAAATCTATTTATGAGAAAAAGGCTAATTCTAAGAAAAAAGGCATATTTGGACAAAAAAAGTCAAATTCTGAGAAAAAGTGAAATTTGAGATGCATTGTGGGACATGTCGTTTATGGGCAACGTGCTTCTGTAAAGTAGCATGTAACCGTATAATAAACATTATATTCTTTGCAAGCTCTTGTGGGGCCACATAAAATGAAGTCGCGGGCCGGATTTGGCCCCCGGGCCTTGAGTTTGACACCCCTGCTATAGGGTCATTCATAAATTCAAGGAGATATAAACAACTATAAACATGCTAGGCTATATTTGCTTTTGTGGCTGCTTACCTCACTGATCCTGTTGTCTAATTATATCATTTTTTATTATTATTATTTTTCTTTTAATCGTTTATTTGGCAGGGACAATGCACTGTAATGAACACTTAAAACATTAAAATGTGTCAAGTGTAACAAACAGTGCCATATTTAGCTTTGAGCTCATTTCCATCCGCAGTCCCTCACATACAAATAATTAAGACATTTACATTTTACAAACATAGCAAAAACAAAATACATGATATGCAAAAAGTGCAAGAGAGCAAGAGCAGCATACGCAAGTATTTATCACATGGTAATGCAATCTAGCAGCAACGACATGTAAAATGCAAGAGAAGATACAAGAGCTACCTAAAGTGCAAGAGATGATACCCCTGTGTTAGAGTGCAGGGCTCAACGCTAACTTTTAAAAGGCATCAGCTTTTGGTTGCCAAAAGTGGCAAAGGCATGCAATAATAAAGAGTAAGCTAACTTATTAAATACAAAGAAGAAAAGCACACATTAGTTTACAAGAAGACGAGCTGCGTACATGATTTCGTTCGGCAGCCAAATACCGGGAAATAATCTGTGACGCGTTTGTGTGTATTCTGTTTGTTTCCCGGCCGGGAAACACTCACAAGAAACACCGGCTGCTGTTATGCCTGCTGTGACGTTAAGTTACCGCTTGTAATTATGCCTTTACAAGCTTAAAGGTTGTATTTATCATCTGAATTTAGCGAAACAAGTTTAATATTCTAAAAACCAATTTTATTTGAAATCGGATGAAAACAAACTGTCACGGACCCTGCCGTGTTATCTATGATTACTATACGCTTTTCATTCATAATTTCAGCGGGAGGGAGGGAGGGGGGGCGGCGCTGAGGAACAGCAGAGAGTTGACAGGTGCCTGTGTTGACATTCCCCTTATTGTGTGTCAGCAGAGGCTACAAGTGTCTTAGGTTCAAGTTAGACAACTCATTTCTGGGTTAGTGTTCATGACTTCATGTTTCTGTCATCTTAATGGTTAATCTCAATGCACACACACTTTCCGTGCTTTCCAAGAGCAGGGCTCAATGCTAACTTTTAATAGGCATCAGCTTTTGGTTGCCAAAACTGAAAATACGGTTGCCATTTTTAGTCACCTTGTATTTTAAATAATTAAGATACTATACAGTTATACATCAACTTAATAATGAACATGTGACACAAAAGAATGTTCAAATGCTTTACAATAAGTAATTAACACAATTAATTGAAACTTAAGTGGTAGTAAACTTGTCCACCCTCAATTGCTGGTATACAAAATACCAGTAGTGCAGCTGTTATGTTCTTCACAGATCCCTCACAAATGAATTGAGCAAGTCACTAGTTTCTTGGTCATCCGTTGTCTCCCTTTCAAATTTGGTTTTTCCTGACCTTTGTGCTGATCCCCACCATAGATCCATTGGCCCTTCAGCATTGAAGTCTGTCATTGGCCAGACTAATACATTTCTAATGTTAAATAAATGAAAACCATTCACAGTTAAGAATTAGATATTAATCATTAATGCTGTAAATTACCTTTTAATATGTCTAACTATATTTAAAATGTGTTACCTTTTTATAAAAGTGATTATATTTGTATGCCAATATTTTCCTATGGTAAAGTTTCGTTTTGCACTTTTATTTTGGTAGTAATAAGATCGGGACTCTTATTTTGAAGGAACTTTTACCGGAAGTGAATGTACTTATATATTTCGCCTCCCAAGACTTTACACATTTCCTCTTTGCTTTCGTTCGGGTTCACCTTGAGCTTTATCAGTTGAATCACTTTGAACATTCGTTTGAGATGTTGACGGGTTGGCCGAACTTTTTACCCCACAGTCAAACAACTTAATTTGCTTCGCCATGTTTTGTAAAACAAACACGGCGCACCGGCTGTCACTACCCGATCGGTCCACCTGCCCGATCTGTACTGCGCATGTGCGAGATGGTCCGCCATATTGGACAACTACATACGGCAACTCTAATAGGACACTTGACACAGTGGCTTTTGGCAAAGCAGAAAAAGAACCGAGAGAGATGATTGTTATTACAACGTGACTTCACTATTATTTAACAACTCTTTTTATTGGGTTCTTTTATTTGGGGTTAAATACATTGTCAGAATAAGTGAGACATGGATTTAACTTCTGTTAGACAGCTATCATACTGAATAAATATTTACTGTGAATGTATGCAAAAATGTATGGCATATAGCCGTCTAACAGAAGTTAGTGTTTTTTGTGGATGAATTCCCCTAAGGGAGGGGGGGGGGCAGTCCATGTAAACATTTATAAAAAAAACACATACTTTTAAAAGACTTAAAATTGTCAAAACTCAAGAAATTATGTTTTTCAAGGATGGTACAGTGGTGGTATGCATTTGGCTTTCTGTCAAACACCTTGATAGCCCTAATAATAGGCCTACACTGTATTTATATAGCACCTTTCATGCTTGACGCAGCCCAAAGTGCTTTACAGAGTATGACAAAAAACGAGGAACATAATTAAAATGTGTAGAGTCTGTTGATATGCTTTCGAGATAAGATAAGATGTACTTTATTAATCCCAATAGTCATTGCCCATAATAACAAATGAAAAGAGTAGAAATAAACAATTCTAAAATATAAACATCTCAAAAAAGAAATAGAAATAAACCAGCATTACCAAATACCTTGGTATTTGGCTTGATGATTGCCTCTCTTTTAAACTTCAGGTCGATAATCTGCTTAGAAAGCTGAGGGTGAAGCTAGGTTTCTTTTTCAGAAACAAGTCCTGTTTCTCGCTTGAGGCCAGGAAAAGGCTAGTCTCTGTGACCTTTTGACCTGTGCTGGACTATGGGGATCTGATTTATATGAATGCACCTGCCCATTGATCAAGTTAGATGCCGCCTATCACAGTGCGCTGATATTTGTAACTAACTGTAAAGTATTAACTCATCACTGTACCCTGTATGCCAGGGCAGGTCTGCCTTCACTCACTGTATGGAGGCTCAGTCATTGGTACATGTTCATCTACAAAGCCATGCTGGGTAAACTACCATCTTATATCTGCTCTCTGATCTCACAGAGAGTTGAAAGTAGCTATTGCCTGAGATCACATGATGGGCTTTGTTAGATGTGCCAAGTGCAAGGACTGACTTAGGGACGAAAGCTTTTATGTGCGCAGCTCCTCTTGCTTGGAACAGTCTGCACAAATATTTGAAACTGAGCAAATTGGTTCCACTGCCTGTTTTTAAAGCTTGGATAGGTGCAATGATACTTGATACTGTTGGTCTCTAGTAGGGCTGAACGATTAATCGATTTTAAATCGAAATCGCGATTTTAAATGATGCGATTATCAAATCGCAAAGCCTGCTTCTTGTGTGTCAGTCATCCACACCAATCAGAAGTGCTGTGCTCCACATGTACCAGCCATTGTTAACCAATCAGAAGTGCTGTGCTCCACATGTACCAGCCATTGTTAACCAATCAGAAGTGCTGTGCTCCACATGCACCAGCCATTGTTAACCAATCAGAAGTGGCCCATGATACTAAGGTGATTGACAGATTGATCCAATCACCTGCCAAGTATTTTTGAAATACTTTTCCAAATGGCTTCCAGTGGAGCTTTCCTAGATGGTTTGGTGAAACAAAGCATCTGAGTCAGGTCAGTAATGCTCCATCACACATCCATTACAGGGTGAATCTTAAACTGAAGCTTGACTTTAAAGCAACCCAACGGAAGTTTCATGTAAGTTTAGTTCTTTCACTTGTAGCTCGGGCTGTGGGGGTGCTAGAGACGGGAGCACGTTGATACGACCTTCCTAGCCGGAGATATGGCCGCATTTTACAATAAACTTCCGTTGGGTCGCTTAAAAACAAATATCGCAAATCGAATCGCAATATCTGTCAGAAAAATCGCAATTAGATTATTTCCCCAAATCGTGCAGCCCTAGTCTCTAGGTATGTAAATGTGATGTCCTTTTGTGTTTTCTGTTGTTTTCTGTTCATGTTGTAACCTACTTGCTGCCATGTTGGACAGGTCTCCCTTGAAAAAGAGATCGATGATCTCAATGCATTAAATAAAGGTTTGAATGAATTACAGAGTAAGAAAAATATACAGATGACCGTAAAGATACAAAATCTATAAACTGTCTGACAAATAATGGCGGAGGCTACGGTAGAAATGGATGGGATTTACGTTTTTACCCGCTTAATGTCTGACCAATTGTTAAACAGCATTTCCGTGCACATGACTTTTGTTCACAGTCTATATGTTGGAGGTGTGTCTGTGAGTGCAGCGACCTGAGAGACATGAAATACATCAGAATCTATATTACATAAAATAAGTCAAATATGGAAACAAAAAGATATATTTCTTGACAAATGTCAGCATTCGTTCTGGTTGAATGTTTGAAATGAAATGCATAGGTTACAATCATTACATCAAGTGAACCCACCTTGATATTTCAACATGTATATTTTCTACTTTTTTTATGTTATTTTATTTCTATTTGAGATGTTTACATTTTGAATTGGTTATTTCTAGTCTTTTAATGTCCCTAATGTGAAATGCCTTGTATTTTTATGCTGCTGCAACGCAAAATAATCCCAAATTGGGATCAATAAAGTACTTCTTATCCTATCTTATCTTATTATGATACTAGTACCTACTACCAAAATACCTTACTGATGCTTCTAATGTTTCCTCTGCAGTGGGATCTGGTGTGCAGCAGGAAGGGGATGAACAAGGCAACAGCCACCATCTTTTTTATCGGTGTGATGCTCGGAGCACCGTTATTTGGGTTCCTGAGTGACAGGTAGGCAGAGGTGGAAAGTACTTGTTAGAAAAATCTCACTGGTCACCGGCTTGAGCTTCAATCTCAGGATCCATGTATTTCTGATCCTCTCCAGAATGGAAGTAGTCCTCACATACAGAGCATCAACTAGTTCCTGAACAGTGTCCTTCACATGCTGATATCCAAGAGAGGGAGTTACACAGTCACAAGATGGAGGGATAGAAAGCAGTATTCAATGTTTACTTCAGATTAGCTCCACGTCAGAAATGATCATGCTTGTCATATGTCTATCTCCATAGAGGCTGAATCATCATGTTAATCACATAGCTATCATATGCCTCAAACAGTCCTGATGCTCTTCTAGGTAATCATACATCCTGTCATGCACACAGCTACAGTTGGGATACCTTTGTGTACTCTGATATTGGAAGAGTACATGCAGTATTTTCCCAACCGTAACTAAGAGCATTTACTGAAGTACAGTTTTGCTTTTAACTTTTTTCTTTTCATGAGCAGGTTTGGTCGCCGCCCGCTGCTCCTGGTGTCTTATTTGGGGACGATGATATTTGCCGTCTGGAGTGCTTTCTCCACCTCCTATGTGATGTTTACCATCATGAGGTTCTTGACTGGCATGGCCCTCGCGGGAATAAGTATCATCTCCATCGCGTTAAGTAAGTTCTTGCACTATTTTATCTGTTTTATTGTGTTGCACTGTTGGAGGAGCCTGTGACCTAAGACTTTCATCGACATAACTACACTGTAGCTAAAAAGTAGGCTAATGCTAAAACAATGCAAACAAGAAATTAAACACATTTCCATTTGACTTTTCCCGTTTCTTGTGCTCTCCTTTTCTTCAGATGTTGAATGGTTTGGCATCGAACACAGGACCTTTTCTGGAGTAATCATAAGCTTGGATTGGACGATTGGAAATTTTGTTCTGGTTGGCATTGCGTACTTTATAAAAGACTGGAGGATGCTCATCCTGGCAGTGACTTCTCCCTTGATACTCGCCGTGATTGCTTGGAGGTATTAGAGCTTCATATCCTCCTGAAACTGAATCCTATGAGCAGTCATTGAGACATTGAACGCACCACGTTGAGACACTGAACGCATCATGTTTGTGTTTTACAGGTGGCTTCCAGAGTCTGCGAGGTGGCTGCTGGCAAATGGGAAGGCGGACGCTGCTCATTATTACATAACGCAATGTGCCAAGACTAACAACAGAACCAAGGTCATGGCCACCGTCACACCTGCGGTACGTTGATCTTCTTTATGGTTATTTTATGTCTCTTTGTGGTAATTTAGTGTCTCTTTGCAGTCATTTTGTCTGTCTTTGTATAATTTTGTCCCCTTTTAAAGTCATTCTGTGTCTCTTTGCAGTCATATTGTATCATTTTGTGTCTCTTTGTACCCAATTTAGTGTCTCTTTACGGTTATTGTATGTCTCTTTGCAGTCATTTTGTGGCTCTTTGTATAATTGTGTGTCTCTTTGCAATATGTTTTAGTCTATGTATCATTGTGTGGTTCGTGGTAACCTTTTGTTTCTCTTTGTATCCGTCTAGAAACGTTAAATGAAAATGTCAGATTAAGAGAAAACACTGTAAATGAACAGCTTGTGTTTGTTTGCTTTCTCATAGGAGTTACTGCAAGCTGCTCAAGTTGAAAACAGAGAAAATAAATACAGCATTGTGGATCTTTTCAAGACCCCAAATATCAGGAAACTCTCCATATGCTTAGGGATAGTATGGTAAGTGTCAATGTTTTTTTTTTAATCTGTTTGAAATAAAGATTGAAATGAATGTCAAGATATTGGGAAGTATTATCATCTGCTTTTGTTCTGAGAGTTAAATAAGAAGATCAATACCCAGACATCAATAAGCTTAATGAGGTTTAAAGATTGAAAGAAGGGGAAACAAGCTAGCCTGATTCTGTCCAAAGTTTAACAAATATATCAAAATGTGGCTTCGACATTTCTGATTGTGTATGATATACAAAAGTGGGATAAAACATTTTAATTATTGAGCCTTAGAGTTGTCGGCAGGTGGATTTTGAACTTGTGGCAGAGCCAGGTTAGCTGTTACTGTTATTTAGTTATTAAGCGCTAAGCCTGGCTTTTAAATTGATTTAACGATCAGAAAGAAAGCAAATAACAGACTGTATGTCATATTATGTGCAATATGGTTTATGATGATTGATGATACTGAAAGCACTGAACTAATCAAGCTCAGGTTCAATTTTAAAAGAAAGTCTCATCACTTTGTTCCATTTTTCTAGGTATGGAGTTGCCTTCACATACTACGGGATAAGTCTGAATATCACTGGGTTCGGACTAAACCCATACCTCACACAATTCATATTTGCATCCATCGAAATGCCCATGAAGGTCGCTGTGTATTTCTACCTGGAGAAAATTGGCCGAAGGTCCGGTGAGGTGGGAGCCCTGCTGTCGACGGGGCTCTGCCTCTTCATCAACTTATTCGTTGCAAAAGGTGATTCTTGTCAACGAGGATTATCTTTGTCAGATATCTGAACTAGGGGCTGTTAATGCTCAAGATACATCTGGAAGCCTTGAAGCATTAGAAAAAAATGAATTCAAATGAATCACATTACCAAGTTTGACCCAAGAGCCTGGGACCTAAGATTTTCATTGACAGAACTACACTGTAGCTTTGTACGAATGACAATAAAAGCCTTGTATCTTGAGCTGCTCCTGTACTTCCACTGCGGAGATGTTTAGCATGATTTGCATGGCAGAGGAATTAGCTCAAGCTACATGTTTTGCACAAGAATATCTTAACAGTGCTTAAAATATTAGTTGCAAATAACGCTAGAACTCAAATATGTCAGATATGTCCATAAATCAGCTGTTAATGGCTCCAACACTCGACCTTTAGGTGTGGTGAATGACTTCTTTCTTTCCCCCCCAATATCCCAATATACAAGTTCATAAAAACCTTGTGATTCATCATGATCATTCACAGATTTTATGTTTTGATATTTCCCCTCAGATAAGTGGATCGTTCGTACTGTGGTGGCCGTCCTGGGTAAATCGCTGTCTGAAGCCTCGTTCACCATCGTGTTCCTCTACACAACTGAACTCTTTCCTACAGTCGTACGGTAAGAACAAATCCTTTTTCTTATTCTACTAATTCAATATTAACATTTAATGAAACAGACAATCAAACAAAAATGAGTAGAAGCGGGAAGGCAGAAAGTTGGTAAAGAAAATAGGGACCCGATTATTACGGCATTTTAACTGCAAACCTCGGATGTAAGTTTCCATGTTTGTATGTATATAAATACACACAGAAATAAACAAAATTCTATATATATATATATATATATATATATATATATATAGAATTTTGTTTATTTCTATATATATATATATATATATATATATATATACACACGTACACGTATACATACACCCATTTCCTGTTGCGAACTTCAGACACGAGGCAGTTGGACTCAAATGCACGACTCCAGGAGGTAAATAAATACTTTAATTTAAAAAATGCAAAGAAAATCTCAGGATAAGTAAACGCACAAAAAACAACACTCCTAATGAGGTGAGAAAATACTTGATGCATAAAAACAACTGCTGGTACGCTGACTACTGACACTGTCACTTTGTGATGTCATAACGATGTTTTGGCTTGTGTAACCATTAGCCAACCCCCCCCCCCCCCCCCCCTACAACTATTTTAAACTTGGAAAGCACGGAAAGTGTGTGTGCATTGAGATTAACCATTAAGATGACAGAAACATGAAGTCATGAACACTAACCCAGAAATGAGTTGTCTAACTTGAACCTCAGACACTTGTAGCCTCTGCTGACACACAATAAGGGGAATGTCAACTCTCTGCTGTTCCTCAGCACCGCTCCCCCTCCCTCCCGCTGAAATTATGAATGAAAAGCGTATAGTAATCATAGATAACAACAAACTGTCACGGCCCCCCGGGCAGCCATTTTGCCCATCCCTGATCTAAAGTAACAGACAGAGAATCAGCACTTTTGAAACAGGGCTGAAACAGAGGGGATTATGGGATGCTGCAATGATCTGTTTGGTGTTTAGAGCCAGACACTTCAGAGACATGTTCTGTATATATCTGAGACCTGTAGTATATTGATGAAAAACAGTATAATAGGGGACCTTTAAAATGTTACTTATGTCCCTTTTTTTTTTTAAATTGCTGCTACTCACTTTTAGCCGTGGTTGTGTGCTTATCTGTCTTCTTGTATTCTAAAACTAATGTGTGCTTTTCTTCTCTGTATTTAATAAGTTAGCTTACTCTTTATTATTGCATGCCTTTGCCACTTTTGCTGTAACACTGTACATCAGGGGTGTCCAAACTACGGCCCGGTGGCCAAATGCGGCCCGCGTACCATTTTGAATCGGCCCTCACTCAGCACATTAAAAAAGTACAATGACTTGAGTATAATAAACTTCTGCTTGTCTTATATTGTACTTCTTAAATATATTATGTTAAAATATATTTCACAGTATTCACGTGTTAATGAGACCATTTTTCAAATAAATTAAAGTTGAAAACATGTTCTAACAAATCTTAGTTGACAAGAAAAAAGCCCAATAACACATTTACATAACAACCTTGAAATCTACCCTTCCTATTTCCTCTTATTATAAGAATTCTGAAGCTTCTGTTTTAAGGAATGAGCTGCTAACACAATAAATGAAACCGTATGGAGAGCTGTGGGCTGTTTTTTTCTTACAGCATTTTCAAGTATCAAGAATAATTTACCCACATTGGATTGACTTTTCCAACTTATAACAGAACCTATGAGGTAATAAACCCCTAGTGAGTACCCAGCCCTTCCTATATTGTTTGGCCCTCGGTAAAAAAGGTTTGGACACCCCTGCTCTACATGTTCAAGCTGCGGGACTAATAAAGGTTTTCTGATTCCAGACAGAACGGTTTGGGCTTCACCTCCTTCATAGCACGTCTGGGCGTCTCCATCTCTCCGCTCGTCATGCTGCTGGAGGACGTGTGGCACCTCCTCCCTGCGGTCACTTATTGTGCCGTGGCGGTGGGATCTGGTTTAGTGGCGTCTCTTCTTCCTGAAACTCTGAACACCTGTCTGCCAGAGTGCATCGAGGACATTGAGAAACCCAGGTGAAGAGAACAAGAAGATAATCATTCATATTTAAGCTACTGTAAACCCTTTGACGCCTCACTGTACTGCACTGCTAAAGAGTAATGCAGTCCAGTTGGCTCACCTGCAAAGGCAAGGGGGGTTATGGGTAATTTGAGCACATTCAGTGGTGGCATTTAATGAAGTACATTTACCAGAAGAGGGAGAAGTACTCAGATCTTGTACTTAATTGAAAGTAGAAGTATTCAGATCTTGTTCTTGAGTAAAAGTAGAAGTACTCAGATCTTGTACTTGAGTGAAAGTAGAAGTACTCAGATATTGTACTCAGGTAAAAGTAGAAGTTCTCAGATCTTGTACTTGAGTAAAAGTAGAAGTACTCAGATATTGTACTCAGGTAAAAGTAGAAGTACCAGAGTGTAGGAATACTCTGTTACAGTAAAAGTCCTACATTCAAAATGTTCCTCAAGTAAAAGTAGAAAAGTATAATCATCAAAATATAGGTAAAGTAGCGACAGTAAAAATAGTGGAACTAAAGTCTGATTTAAGACTTGATCTTTAGAATAAATTAAATCTTAACGAGGTCGAAGAAGATCTTAATCGAGGACATTTTATAGATTGTTTTAGATATTTATATGTAGGTCTTGTAATTGAAATGGGGCCCTCAGTTCTTTGATAGGATACAGTTCAAAGTCTGGAAGAAAAACGTATAGGAAACTAGTTTGTTTAAGACAGTGACATTCAAATACTTTTTGATGTCTCACATATAAATTAACTAGTGAATAAACATATAATGACTTGTAATTATAAGTAAAAAATATCCAACATCAGTATACAAAGCAAATAAAGTTATCTCCATCTTTACCAGCTGTGTTATAAACCAGTACTTTAATATTTATATATGATTCTGAAAAAAAGAGCATAGCAAGTACTTTTACTTTTGGTACTAAAGTATATTTTGATGTTCAAACTTCGATAGCCAGATTTTGAATTTATGACTTGAGTATTTTTACAATTTAGTGGTGCTACTTATACTGAAGTAAAACATGTGTACTTCCTACATTGCACAGTTTGTAACATCCTAACTTTTTGACATGTTTTAATCTTTTGCAGGTGTCCTGAAATAAAAAATGTGTTATTCATGTCCCCCCTGAAATCTGCAATCCATAAATGATTGTATAACTAATTTATATTTGATCTATATTGCAGTAAACGATCAAGAGACAAACCAGCAGAGTCTGAAGTTGAAGCCAACACGGATCTGCTTTTAACCTGCAGTGCTTCAAACGGCCAGCAGGGGGCGACTCAGCAACAAGAAGCCGTTGTGTAGAAGTCTTATGAGAAAATGACCTGCTTCTTACTTGATTTATTAACTCGGTTAACATTTTCCTAATTAGGTTATGGTGCCAAATGCTATGCTGTAGTCTTCTTTAATATATAATGATGTTCATTTTGTAAATCAAAGTACAATTTAGAGTCAAATAGCCGATAAAAGAGGATGTGCTTTAGGGAATTGTCTGTGTTTTTCCCCCCTAACTTTAACCCTGAATGTGTTTTTAGATTTTGAAATGTACTTTGGATGTATACAATATCTTGTACTTACCTTCACCTGCGTGCAAAAACACAACAGGGGCTTCAAAGAGCAGTATATTGGAGAAGCTGGATTCATTATGCCTGTCGACAGTATTTTAGTTTGACGTTTTTATGATTATTGATCAGTTGATGTGATGTGTACTGTTTTGTAACAATCATATTGATAAACTAACAAAAAATACTTCAGGATTGAACATATTTAAGCTGTACTGTATACATTGGCTATACTGTATGGATAAAAGTCGGACAATTGAAGAAAAAGAAGTGTAAATGTACTTGGCAATAAAATTGTACCAAATTAGAACACTAATATTGGTTTAATTGGAGTTGTGATGGTTGTGTACATGATCCACTTTCTTTCTTGAAAGCTATGTAGTACTACAATGATTACTTTAAAGCTAAAAGGTCATCAACAACCTTAAAGAGTGTGTAATAGACAATACAAAAAAAGATTCCCACCTTTTTCTTCTGATAAGAATAGCAGTTATTAAACAAATGAAAAGGAATTGGAACTCACAATGGAAAAACCTAGTAATTTAAAGTTGGGGTAGGTGATTCACTTCAGAAACACTTTTTGTTATATTCCATGGAATGCTCTTAACATCCCGATAGCAATGAATAAATTAAATGCTTTGACAATAAATACATAAAATGTCATCTGTGGAAGCCGTGGCGCTGTAAAAAGCACGACCAATCATCTGAGCCGGCCCGGCTAAAATAACTGGATGGCCTACCTGCCTGTCAGCCTTCCATCTCGTGCACAAACTTATCTCGTGCCCTCATTGGTCATGTGCGCGTTCGTGTGTGTTGGAGGAGGGGCTCTATAAGGAAGTATGAAGGAAAGGGCAGATTGTTTTTCGGCTGCGTAGTTTCAAATTCTAGCGCACTCGAGCTGGTTTCTCCATTCTTACCTACCCTACCTGTATGTGTATGAAATGGAGGAATTAGCCGTCAGAATCAGAAATCAAGTAAAATAAAAATAGGTAAATTAAAGAACATATAACATTTATAACGAACAGTATTGTATTATTATTATTAAATAGGTCATCACTTAAATGTTGCACTTGGAGAAAGGGAAGTTTATTTGGATTTTCTTTTATATACTAATGACTAGCTTTAACTATTATAAAATATAACAATGTGTCAGTTGGTATCTTTAGCTAAGGCTATCTAACGGCTTTGTTTTATAGAAGGAGAGAGTCTTTAAAAAAATCAAAAAATAACGGAATATCTGGTGATGGTTTCCATGGCGGTGCATCTTGTGAATCTGGTATTCGGTTGGGTTCAGATTTTTAATTTGAACTGCTTATATTTGTCCCTTTCTAAACAACATTGCACTGATGGTGAGTACACGTGTCTGTTAATCTGTTTTCATCACAAAAATGACAACAATCTGCTTTATTTGGAGGTGCAGTGATGGAAAAAGTACTCGGATTGTTTACTTGAGTTCAAGTAGAAATACTACAGTGAAAAAAATACTCAGTTAACAGTAAAAGTACAAAGGTTTATGCACAAAAATATACTTTAAGTACCAAAAGTGAAAGTCGTCATTATGCAGGATGGCACATTTAAGCACCGTATATTTTTAAATCAGAAATCTGCTTCATTTGGACGTTTTAATGCTAAAGAAATCAATGGTTTCCATGGCAGTGCATCTTGTGAATCTGTTATTCGGTTGTGTTCAGATTTTCCATTTGAACTGCTTATATTTGTCTGTGTCTGAACAACATTTCACGATGGTGAGTACACGTGTCTGTTAATCTGTTTTTATCACAATAATGACGGAAATCTGCTTTATTTTGAGGTTTTATTCGTGTTTTTTAATGTATTTTCCCAAGGCCGAAGGAGAACCAGAGATGCAAGGCAAAGCAGATGAGAACCCTCCTGCAAAGGAAGAGAAAAGCAAGGATGAGGTCAGAGCTGAGAGATTCATTAAGATCATTTAGCGTGGCGTGTGGTGCAGTGGGTTGTGCGTTGGTGTTCGGATCAGGAAGTCAAGGTTCAAACCCCACTGCAGTCAGCATGTCGTTGTGTCCCTGAGACACTTCACCCCAAATTGCTCCTGTGGGGATCGTCCACAGTATTGAGTATGTAAGTCGCTTTGGATAAAAGCGTCTAACAAGTGACATGTAATGTAATGTCATGTAATTTAGCGACTGAGTCTATTTGCTAGCTTAGTAAACCCGGAAATGTTGAGTGCCCCAAAGTTTTTACGTTAGATATGTATACGGGTCTCCAGCACATAGGAACTGCCGGATGCTAACTTGCATATGTTAGGCAATTTGCACAATTAGCATAAATTGCGTTAATTAAAAATAAATGGGATTATAGCCTAAGTGATTTGGATAGTATTGGAGTTGTTTTGGGGTTGTTGGGGATGCTGAGACTGCATTTTCAGGATACATAATGTCAGTTTTAACCAGAAAGTGGCCATATATACTCTCAGTGGGCGGATTTTTACTACAATGGGTTGCGACCATTGGATAAAGAGAGCACACGATACAAATGATTACCTCCACTTTGGACAATTAACATTTTCTGGTTAAAAATGCCATCTTTTAAGTATTGAAGGAGCTAGTAATAACATTGACAACATTGTTAAAGCAGTGATTTTGGACATAAGTTGTTTTATCGTTATCATGTACACAATATGTCATCAGCATATGTGTGATAAGCCCATTTAAGGCGAGTATATACTGTATGCTTTTCACTGGGACTCGGCCACAATGGACAAAGGTTTTAATTGCAGTATTTTGATTGATTACACTTCCCTACATTCACCAAAACCTCCTGCATTCGAGAATACAGTGTAGGTTCCAGTGATTATGGAGACACTTGTTTGATTTGTATCGAAACAACCACCTTCTCCCTGCAGCTGTGGGAGACGTGTGTGAGTCTCCAAGAGGAACTGAATCGAGCGGTCAAAGAGAAAGGGCAGTTTGAAAATGAGAGGAGCAGCCTCACAACGTCCTGGAACACCAGCAAGCAAAGACTGGAGGCCTCCAAGGCGAGGATGAGGGAAAAGCTCCGGGTAAATCAAGAGGTCCAGAGGCAACGACTGAAAGAAATTGAAGTAAGCATCACACACACACACACACACACACACACACACACACACACACACACACACACACACACACACACACACACCACACACACACACACACACATACACACACACACACACATACACACACACACACACACACACACACACACACACACACACGTTAAAGAGAGGACCCATCCTGCTGTTTGTGGTTTTCCATTTCCTGTAGTGTGTCCTATAGGTTTTTGTGCATGTGTATGGTCTTCAAAGGCTAAAATCCATGTTTTCCCTCCAGAGGGAGTTTCTATTTCTATCTAGCTTCTATTGTTACAGGTTAGGCTAAGGGGCGGGACATCTCTAAGCGGTTGACCAATCACAACAGAGCCGGCCAGCTAACCAATCAGAGCAGACTGGGCTCTGGTTTCAGACAGAGGGTGAAAAGAGGTGCTGCAGCACAGGCAGTATGAGAAAAATAAAGAGCTTTTTGAACATTAAAGCATGGAGACATGTCCCAGTAGAAACACTACATACTGATATACACCTGAACATCAGCAGGAGAGGACTCTTTAAAGTAGAGACACTACATACTGATATACACCTGAACATCAGCAGGAGAGGACTCTTTAAAGTAGAGACACTACATACTGATATACACCTGAACATCAGCAGGAGAGGACTCTTTAAAGTAGAGACACTACATACTGATATACACCTGAACATCAGCAGGAGAGCACTCTTTAAAGTAGAGACACTACATACTGATATACACCTGAACATCAGCAGGAGAGGACTCTTTAAAGTAGAGACACTACATACTGATATACACCTGAACATCAACAGGAGAGGACTCTTTAAAGTAGAGGCACTACATACTGATATACACCTGAACATCAGCAGGAGAGGACTCTTTAAAGTAGAGACACTAAATACTGATATACACCTGAACATCAGCAGGAGAGGACTCTTTAAAGTAGAGACACTAAATACTGATATACACCTGAACATGTGCTTAATAAGTCAATACTTTTTCAGTTTCCCTTCCAGTAGTCCCCTCAACTGTGCAGCATGTAATGACACCAGATGCTATAAATTAGAATTAAACGCACATAATTGAAAAAGAAAGTAGTGATCTGCATCTATTCTTGCACACACCATAGTATAAAACCACCCGTGTTATTTTTGTTGCAAATAGTTTAAATTACCTCTTATCTTCGACATAAAGACACATTTTACCCTGGGACAACCGGAAGTCACTTTTAAGGGGTCTTATAATGCCCATGTTCAGGTTCATAGAGCAAAATATATATATTATCGGTACATTTTTTACTATCCTATGTATATACAAGTATGTCTATGCCCCCGTAGTGTAAGCATATATTCCTGCTACTAACTGCAGTATTTTTGACTTGTTTAGAAAAAAATTTGGAACATTTAATCAATTATATTTGATATAATAGTTCATTTTTAGTTGTTAATTCTCTATTCCACTTTTTAAGTATTTTTATTATAATCTCTGAACACACTGATGCTTCTGTAACAAAAATGTTTTCCCAAATAAAGTATATATATCTATCTATCTTGTAAACAGAAGCAAATGAGGTTTTTTGTAACGTTATGTGTTTGCATTAAATGACTTTCTTCCACCCCCAATCAACTCAATTTGATTATTGATTGCAGGAGCGACAGCAGAACCTGGAAGAATTGAAGACGGCTCAACAAGAAGAGATCTGTGAGCTGAAGATGGCGGCAAAGAATCAGAGAAAGAAGGGGCGTTCAGAGGTGGAGAGTCAGGAGAAGAAGTGCAGCCTGCAGGTGGAGAGAGCCGAGCAACAAGTCAGCTCTAACATCCTGATCAGGAAGCTCGAGCTGGTAAGAACTCACAACGTCCAGATCAAATATTGCTTTTATTTTCACACTTCCAACTACTAGTTACCTGAAAAAAGGGTTTTCAGTAACTTAATCTGAGTATCAATATGTAAAAGCAACCTGATTACTTTTGGATAACGTCAATTTCAAATGTAATGCAAATGAATATCAGATAAAAGGAATATAAGTGTATTACTAAAGAAGTAGTATTAAGATATTTAGGATCAGAAATGATAGGAAAACCTGCCTTTCATGAAGTATACTCAGGCAGTAGCCTATACACCAACATATGAGCACATACTACAGTTTAAAAAAGCAGGAGTAAAATCTGAGCTGACAGAACATCCTCAGTTTTAGTTTAATACACACAGTTAAGCTCACACACACTATTTTAT